TATTCGTTTTGCTTTCCGGTGCTACATGCATTTCATGTATATTGTCGTATACATTTATATTCTCTATTCCCCTGTAATAAAGTACAATTTGGAATGGTTGAAGCTTGTGCATATGTTGATTCTTAATATTTGTAATTCTATGCACATAGATCCAGGATATTGTAGTGACTAAATATTCGTCGTAGATTCTGTTAGTACAGAATAAATGAGGTGTCAAACTATTTGTTCTAATGGCAGTGTTTATGGCGATACAAACCTTCATTTTAATAAAAACATGTCGGAATTGCAATCTGAAAAGTAATATCTCCGGAAATATAACTCACATTATAAAAATGTTTATAAGTCATTTTGTTTAAAAACGACAAAAAGACGGCTTCGTGGTTCGCGTCGTTTTTCACTTATTACGTCGTTGGGTTTTAGCTTTATAAAATTTACTACTTGTGAAAAGTTTCTTCTATGTCTGTATTCAGAGAATCTCTAATTTTTTATGATGTCCATTGATGTTATTGAACTTGGTCTCGAAAGAATTTCTGTGACAATATTTCACGCTCTCGTAAGCTTACTACGAGAACGAATCTTGTAAATTGATAGCTATCGACATGATAATTACTACTAATATAATATAAGGTGTTGCTTAACAACACGATATGCAATTAACATTTAGTGAAAACAATAATTGGACATCTAATACTAACAATGTAAGTAGCTGTACATATCTGTACACTTATAAACTCACACACACTCTTATAAACAAATAAAGTATTAACTAGTATATTTCGTGTCTTAAATAAATTTAGGCAGTAATTCGAAGTACTCGCGTACATTAATAAGAGAGATTTTTAATGTCCAAATTTGTCTAAAAATTGTCCTATTGTATTAATCTTAGTCATGTTTAATGAATTTACTAGGTTTAAAGGTACTTCCCAATACATTATCCTACTCGCGTAACTAAATTACTCAAATGTATGTTTAACAATGTACTAATATCACACCGTTGAATAATATAACTTGCTAATCCAAAGTTATTTTTACCATTAAGCTAAAATTTCTCGAGTTTACGTATTTCATGTATTCAGGTACATCTTTCAGGATGAAGTAGACATATAAGACCTTTATAATTTTGATTATAATGAGGTCTTGTCTTCCTCAACTTTTAATATAAACGATATTAAAAGTTAAGTAATGCTGTAGTTTACGCGAGTAGTACACGCGAAATATAATAGTTAAACTTATTTGGTAATTACCGTGACCACGGCTGCTGCAAAGCATCCGAAACGTCACGCCGTAGTTAAAATCATTTCCAAACACGTTTAACTAATATATTTCGGGTTTTAAAACGTAAAAATCTTCTTTAGATATTAAAAGTTCTTTTAAATGTATAGTTGAGGCGAAGAAATAAAGAAAGCAGTTGTATGCACATCTGACCACGTCGAAGAAAGTCACGATGAACGCTATGAATAGTTGCGGTTACACCAGGAAATGGTTCGTGCTACGATAATTTGTTCACACCAACTTACAGAAAGATTGGAATCTGCTTAGCTATTGACCGCGATTACGTACAATCAAAGCGCCCGCACACACGATACAATAACGGGTGCTTTTTTGCTAATCACAATTTGTATTACGGCTAGCAGCGTCCCGCGGTGTTACTTGCGTCACCTGGAAACTATCGTTTGATACTGATAGAAGAGAATATATATAAAATACTGAGCATGTTCTTTACTATCTCAAATACATAGTTATTGAGATTTCAAATTAAGAAAAAGTAAAGGATAACTTGTCTTAACAAAAAATCTTAAAACTTGAAAAAATCTTAATTTTAATCTTTTTCTTTCTTTTGATGAATTAAATGTTGTTATCGAATAAAAGTTATAATTATTTTATAGGCTTCATTCACTTTTGTGGAATAACCAAGGGCATAATGTATTTACACAGAGAATAAAGTATACATACATTTACATCTTTTTACGTATAACTATGTATCTTTATTGTTACAGTAAAACACATATTAAGTTCGCTAGGCAATGGGGATGCTATACGTGGAATATCAAACACACGCCGTGCAGTCCCTCCCCTACTGAATAATTTCTTCTTTTCATGCCTGAATAATTTAAGGCAACGTTTTCGAAACCTCCCGTAAGTCGTTAAAATTTAATTTCGATCGATATCCTAGTTGTGTTTGCTTCTAATCTTAATCTTACGTAGGGTATAAGAAATTTACTGTCCTTATAAAGCCAGTGAGAAGATTATTATTCATGTACAAAATAGACCAATATAACATAGCTATATACAATATATATAAACTACTAGCTGACTTGTCAGCAGTTCTTGTACCATATGAAGTATTTTGACCAAAGGTGATAAAAAAAACGGGTTTTTCTGTTAATCTTAAAAGATAGACATATATTGTCTCGGACTTCAAAAATGTTTAGAAAAAAGTCAGGGCACGCAACGAAAACTCACAAAATTAATAATTTTTCCTTTTTATTCACATTTCCACTGTTTCTTCGCTCCTATTGGGCACACTCTGATGTTTTGTAGCCGAAAGACACAAAAATAACGTTTCAATTGGAACCAGTAGTTGCTGAGATTATCTCGTTCAAACATACACACTCTTCAGCTTTATAATATTAGTATCAATCAGGATAATTCTTAATCTTGATCTATAGGCATTAGGAAAGTATACTAAACTGGATTGGTTATTTATTATTTGTTTACCAGAATCAGAGAAATGTTTTGAGTTACAATACATTATCTACCTAATGTTAATACATAACAGACCATGAAGTAGACAAAAAAGGATATCCTTATATTCGCGTAGACACGTGTTAGCTAAGATTGCTTTAGCAATTTGAGACGCTCGCACAATTCAAAGTATGTATATTGGAGTTATACTAGGTACCCATTTAGGTCCGCGTATTTTCAAGTCATACAAACTTAACTGGACAGACGTCAAGGTCGCCCGGCTCTGGAGACGCTAGATCATTGTCGTAGAAAAAGACAATATGTTTGTATAAAAATAGCACAATCTATATCTATCTATACTAATATAAAGCTGAAGAGTTTGTTTTTTGTTTGAACGCGCTAATCTCAGGAACTACGGGTTCGAATTGAAAAATTATTTCTGTGTTGGCCCGAGCATTTATCGAAGAAGGCTATAGGCTAGATAATAAACATCGCCTTGTGACTAATAGGAGCGAAGATGCAGCGAGACATATTAATAAAATTGGGAAGATGAAGGAAGATCATCGCGTCGAAGGCGTACACTGCAAAAACGGTTCATGATACCCAAAAAAGTAGTATTAAAGAATGACTTCTCTTTAACTGATCTAAAAAAAAGTCCGCGACGCTGTATGTCTATCTTTAAAGATTGCCTCGCAAGAACGATGGGAATTCTCGCGGACGAAGTCGCTGGCACAGCTCAGTACAGTATAAGTTGAAATTGTAAATGGAGCTTTTATAAAAAAATATATTGTAGACCCTCGACGACTCAATCAATTTCTCTCCCGAGGGTCAATAATGAATTTAATGAATGGTTCTTTTATAAAATAGCCCATTGCAGAGGGTCTTATAAAAGAAGTCCCAAAATATTATTCCCTTTCCATGTCTTTTTAGAAAACAAACACAGACTATGTTTATTTCTCTTATGTCCTCAGGACTTTGAGCAAAATCATAAGAAACCTACAAACAATGAGACACTACGAGTATGATAATTGACTGTTAATTTTACTTATATGCTAAATATACTTTAAATTATCTTTGATTAATAAAATCTATATTTTAAATATAGATTATATTTATACCATTAAATAAAAGCCACCGCTTAAAATATACATTGTGACATTAATAATCTTAAACTGTATATTTTTAGGATTATGTTTAAACACATAATAAGAAATTACAAAAGCTAGATTTATTATAAAAATATAACAAACAGATTTTGGTTTTATATCTACAAAAAATTTACAATCAGGCAAAAAATCAAAACGCTAACGCTCTCAAAGTGTGAGGTTAATACAGTTCATTATTAACAGTCGTTTGTGAAATATCCCGAAGGGATTCTACCCTCGTTTGCTTAATTTGTTGCGACTGAGTGCCATCATCGTTAAAAACAGATTCTGAATATCTTGGCGTATTACTTCTTAAGTACGTAAGAGACGGTAGACGGTAGAGTTTGACATTAATATACGGCTAAAAACTAATGGGTCGTAGGTTGGATCTCTACCGGGTCTTACATGTTAATCAATTTATAATTTTTCCGAAAGATGTTGGACTTCCTCCGGGTGGTTGGAATATCGATATGCCGACCAGATCATGAACCATCGTCTACAGATGAGAAAAACGTCAAATTTAATCGCCTTTCGATTTTAGTCTGTGGATTTCTAAAAACCAAAATAGGCCTACAGCACATCTCATCTAGATGTTATATTACTGATGTATTTCACCTATCATCGAGTGAATCTCACGCTTCTCTGTCTACATCACCTATGGTTTCGGCGGATCGCTGCTGCATCTGAAACGACGCATCATACTTTAAAATAAGTTAATTAATATTATTCGAAATTAAAACAGTTTATTGTTAAATACTGTCTATAGTTTACGCGAGTAGTACACATTTAAATAAAACACTTTAACGGTTTAAAACGCGATATATTAATTAAACTTATTTGAAAATGATTTTTAACTTCGGCCCGACGTTTCGGATGCTTTGCAGCAGCCGTGGTCACGGGGAGACAAATCGTCGACGGGGGGGTCTCGTGCAAAGCATCCGAAACGTCGGGCCGAAGTTAAAAATCATTTTCAAATAAGTTTAACTAATATATCGCGTTTTAAACCGTTAAAGTGTTTAATTAAACAGTTTATTGTTATTTAAATTATTATTGTTGTATTTCATGTCTTTATTTCCCTGTTGTAACACCGCATCTCAATAACCTAGTCTTAGTTTTATAAGAAAAATAGCCTTGTTTATGCTTTAATGAATATTAAAATGTTCGTTTCAGATTGTATTAGGAGGAGGGCTTCTAGGATCACAATGCAAACTTCACACAGACTGCTCTGTCTCAAATTCGCGATGTGTAAGAGGCACCTGCTCTTGTCAACCGTACTTCGCACAAGTTGACAACGCCACTTGCCTTGAATGTAAGTGATATTACTTTCTATCTAATTATTAAAAAGATTCCCTTTGTCTGGAACAACATATTCTGTATCAGGGACACTTAAGAATTCTACATAAAATTAATTATACTAATTTAAACCTTGAATATTAGTGAATTTCCACTCGTCGCAAACTAAAGTTATAATAACTAAAAATACATATAGAAGCCCGGTACGCCGTTGGTCGCGGGTTTGATTTCCGCCTGTGTAATATTTCACTCTTCTAAATAATATTTTTTTAATATATACATTTACTTTATAATAGGTTAAAACATTATAAATATTATAGCCTACTAATTTGATGCTCTCGTTATGTATCAAAGGGACGTGGATCCAAAATTTTGCTTATCAATTCATAATTGTCTCGAATTCTAGATATTCAATGGGGGTAGAAATATGGAAATCCCGTTTGGGTCACGAACCACCATCCACAGATAATAACGCTGACAACGTTTTATTGTATCTGGATCTCAGTCTGTGGATTTCCAAGGTCGACAGAGCATCATGCTTAGTTAAATACTGTCTATAGTTTACGCGAGTAGTACACATTTAAATAAAACACTTTAACGGTTTAAAACGCGATATATTAGTTAAACTTATTTAAAAATGAAACTTCGGCCCGACGTGTCTCCCCGTGACCACGGCTGCTGCAAAGCATCCGAAACGTCGGGCCGAAGTTAAAAATCATTTTCAATTGTTGTTATATGACTGGGTATTTTACCTTCCATCAAGTAAACTCTATGCTTATCTGTTCTCCTCAATGATAAAAAAAAACATAAAAAACTATTTAATTAACCTCTTGTTTTGTATTGGTATCAATTTGGGTCAAAAACTGTTTTGTTATGGTCAACTTGAGTGGATTTAAACTAAGAATTACCATAATCCCACGCGCGTCTCACATTTTTAACCCAGATTCTTTAAGGCTTGTTAATCCAAAAATTAAGGTTTTATTAGTGTAAATAACTTTATTGTTGATACATAAAGTTATGTGGACTAAATAGTGGTCCTTGTAGACCAATGCCATTAGTCTTTCTTATCTTCGGAATTTCGATTTATTGTCATTGATGTTCCGATTTTTATAGGCTCATCTATTTATTTGATTATGACTGCCTCTGTAAGTAAGAAGTTAATTGTAAACGCGTTTCTTAGAATTGTATAAGCGCGAAAGGTCGTGATTTTGAATCCCGGGGAATCAATGGATTGTTAAGAAGTCTGATCAACTTGTAATAATTTTACAGACATAAAAATGAGTCTACTATATGCACGTGGGGGAGGTAGGATTTTAGACACGTATATCTGTTCCGGCTACGATGAACTATTCATAAGCAAGTAGATAATTCTACTGTTCAGATTAACATTGTATTGCGTGGGAGTCGAACCAATGTTTAAAAGTAACATGTTTTATAGCCCGCCACGTAAGCCTGGTGTCTATCTTTTAAGATAAACTCACAAGAACGACGGAACGCAACCGAGATCGTGGGTAACTAAGTTTATAAAGGTGAAGAGGAGGTTTGCGGAAACAAACTTTGATGCCCATGATAACTGTTCTGCTTGGACGAACTTGCAAAGCTAGTGTTTATATAAAGACTTATGTTTTTGAAATCCTTAGATGCATCTTCAAATAATTTTCTCCCACGCACACAATTGCAACGCGAGAGAGCATGCTATAGCATTTCCGCTATCTCAATTTAGCGAAGCACAATAACGATAAATCCTCATTCGGTCGCCATGCGTGCGTTTAACACCGATGTTGTTAAACAATTCAGCGGTAAATCAATAAAGTTGCCAGTTAAACAAGCGTAAAACACTTAACATATCTTGAAGACAATTTATAAGGAACTAAATTGTTTTAAACAACACTTCCTCGTTTTTTTTGCTTATAGAAATTATATTGTCACGTTAAGTAACGAATTCAGCTTGGTTTCAAGAACGTGCTTACAAAATTGATTGATTTTTAAAACTTTTACTTTCTATTATCGTACCGTCTGTACATATTTAAATAAAACACTTTTTTTATAAATTACAACAACAATCCGCCGTTTCAAATGCTTAGCAGCTACCGTGGTCATGGGGGGGGCTGAAGTTGGAGGGTGTCCTTATATACTGCCTGTAGTTTACACGAGTAGTACAGATTTAAATAAAACTCAAATAATCACATGAACGGTTTAAAACGCGAAATATATTAGCTGAACGTTTAAAATTATTTCAATAACGGCCCGACGTTTCGGATTCTTTGTAGCAGCCGTGGTGACGGGGAGACTGGTTAAACTAATTTTCAAATAAGTTTACCTAATATATATCGCATTTTAAACCCTTCATGTGTTTTATATAATAGGTGTCCTTATATCAAAGTAAAATATTGTGAATAATATATTTCACGTTTTAAACCGTTAAAAGTGTTTTATTTTAATATCTATCATCTTTTTTATCTATTAGTGCCCCGGCAAACTTAGGAAAAATAGCCAAGTACACTAAAAATAAACCAACGCTGTCTACACGTTATAAAAGCGATCTTTCGAACCAGATTGTTGATACAATTAGTTAATTAAAGGCAATAAAAACATAGACTCGGAATCTTGATACAATTTTACCGTTCTTTTAATACCTTACAATATTTAAAAAATATACAGTTGATTATCTAGACATTTCGAAGTTTAATCAACGGACCACAATCTACACACCGTTAATCTTACTAATTGTTGTTGATTGAAAAATATTACGGAGTTACAGAAATCGTAAGGAAAGTTCAATTTTCATTATTATTATATTATTTTTCACTTTTATCCATACATCTATTTTTTACTATATTTCCTCGTGACAGAAGGATAGACAAACAAACGTGTGTTTTACTTGAAGGAAGGCAAAATAACATAGTATAATAGACAAATAAATTTTGCTATCGACCTATTTTCGCTATGGACATTCGGAAATCGACATGCTGAAACTGACACTTCAAGTATAAGATGGTTTGACCTGGACAGAATTTCTATATTCCAACCATGTAATGTCCAGATGTTCCAAGCAGAGTAGTTATTAGTTAGATTAGTTTCAGAAACATAACAAATTGATTTTAGTAACATTTTGGACTCAGTGGGTATCGAATCCAAGATCCGTTGATTTTACATAGCGCCAACGAATCAGTGAAAATTATCTATTTAATTTCTTTTTTTTATTGTGCATTTTTAATACATTTCCTGTTAAACATTTTAAAATGGTCTGTAACCCTCGTTTTTTGCCAAGCAGCTATTGACCTTATTACATAAGCGTTTTCCTAGGAACTCTCAAAGCTTTTTGCATAATAGTTGGCCAAGTTAAACGTTTTGTATGAGTATAATAAGCCGTGACAATTGTATTAAAACGTTGCTAAGCACGAAAAAAGGTTTTGTTAGAGAATTTTTTGTGTAGCCTAATATACTCGTATGTGTACTACTGACGCCCTGCGACTTTACCTGCGTTAAATCATAACTCTCTAACGATTTTCCTCGAAATAATTCATTGGCAAAATTGTTTCCATAAATTAAAAAAAAAATCTAATCTCAAACACGTTTTCTGCCTCTATTATTCTTTTATGCTTTAATATCATAAAATCCTGGCTTCTTGTCTGTAGTTTATGCAAGTAGTGCCATTAAAAAAAAAACAATTTTAACGGTTTGAAACGTGATCTTAGCTGCAAAGCATTCAAAACGTCGAGCCGTAGTTTATGTTAGTAATTTAATAAAATTCGTACAACATACCATAAAGTTCATATACAACTAAACAAACGTAGTTAAGATTAATTGTAAATAAGTTAACTAATATATTTAAACTACTGAAATGTTTTATTTAAATGATCTGCGTAAAACTCTTCTTCTAAATCTCTCTACGATGTAAGGCTATTTGTCGATCCAAAAGTCATTGATCACGACGAACTTTTTATATGCAAATATATATAATAGTATCTTGTAACATATCATATACCTTACAGTAATATCATAAAAAGTTAAGACTTATTCAATTGTAAACTTAATTGAGCTCGACTTATCGAATGTAGATTAAGTTAAGGCGGTCACTAAGGCAAGACATGAAAAAAATTAGGCTGACGATAAAATCTTACGATTGGGAATCGTTAAAGTCACGCGAATTATTATTTCATGCCTGTTAACCGTTCTAGATTTGATAACGCAGTGCAATTTATTGTTATTTTTACATTCCGAAAGATTCTGTGTATGTGTAACATACTTATTTTATATTCCAGTTACATTCTCGTTTTAAAATTACTCGTCAGGCTACAAGGAACTAATAAGGAAAAAATAAGAAAAAGTATGACAGGCGCTGATTAAGATAAATGAGTTGTTTGTGTATAGGCCATTAATGAATAACTGGCAAAATACATACGACAATGTTGATACGTTTAAGTCTATCTATAGTTTACGCGAGTAGTACACATTTAAATAAAACGGGTCTCCCCGTGACCACGGCTGCTGCAAAGCATCCGAAACGTCGGGCCGAAGTTAAAAATCATTTTCAAATAAGTTTAACTAATATATCGCGATTTTTAACCGTTAAAGTGTTTTATTTAAACGTTTAAGTCTTTTAAAAGTTTTTTTTTCATAGAGAAGAACAATCAAACGGGAAAACTGACCGGGAACTTGCAGTCTGCAAGAACCTGGCCAGTTTCGTCAAATACCAACTTCGACAGAACAGTTGGCGCTAGTGTAGCAGTTTTTGACTTTGATGTCAGAGACATCCTCATTCCTCCATCTTTAGTCTCCCCGTGACCACGGCTACTGCAAGACAACCGAAACGTCGGGCCGTAGTTAAAAATAATTTTCAAACAATTTTAACTAAAATGTATCCCGTTTTAAACTGCTTAAAGTGTTTTATTTAAATGAATTAAACAATTAAATTGGCTTAAAGTAAATCAATCTAGCAGTCATGTGTTTATAACAACATAATGTAGTTTGGGCATGGAATGGAATGTACTTTTATAAGAATTTAGAATTTTAAATTAAACTACAATGTTGTAAATATTCACTTAATAATTAAATTCTTAACATCACCATTTTTACTCAATGAATATCATTAACAGAACTTCGGTTTCGCTTCAAACCAGACTTAGTCCAACTCTTATGACAACTTTGATTCATCTAATGACTGGAGATATAAACAATGATAGTATGTGGTTGGACAGTAATTAATTCCGGTATTTAATCATTATTAAGTCATTACGCTTGTTAGCTATTGACATGTGTCGGCTTAAACAAACGATTATATTGTAGACATTAATTACGATTGGCATTATTGAATACTAGCTGTGTCAGCGACTTCGTCCGCATAGAATAGTTATTTTGTACATCAATATTTGTTTTTACAAACCTCCTGTTTTATCACACCACTTTAAGCTGTTACCCCCGTCGCGTCGTTCTTGCAAGTTAATTTTAAAAGATAGACATATAGTATCGCGGACATTTTTTTAGATCATTTAAAGAGGAATCATTCTTTCATACATATTTTTTGAGTGTCTTAAACCGTTTTCGCAGCGTACGCATCGGAAACCCACAGAGATGAAAAAAATCTTCTGTTTTGTTCACGTTAGTCACAGCGCAATGTTTTATAGCTAGGCAAACACAAAATAATTTTTAAAATCGAACCTGTAGTTCCTGCTATTAGCGCGTTTAAAGAAACAAACAAACTGTTCAGCTTTATATATTAGTATAGATTAATTACGATTGGCAATACTGAATATGTTCCAATTACTTTCCTACGCGGAAAAAGTTAATATATTTTAATTATCGCCTTGTTACTTTTTCCAAATGAAATTAGAAAACACGTGTATAAATAAAGTTGAATGGGCTACTGTAAATAATTGTGCAATTAACATAACCGTTATGTTATCTACTATAAATATTTGATGGTACTCACGTAACGAATTTGTAAGTTACGCACGTACGTCTGTACGAATGCCCTTATATTTCCTATTGTAAGACATAGATGTATTTTTATTCTATTCACTTAATTATTTATAACAAATATATTGTGCGAGAGAAGCATGTATAAGTTCATGGAATAAATTCCGAAGGACGAGCGGAATTTAATATTTTTGACACGCTATTACACATGATAGCACTAAATGATTTAAAAAGCCGATTATAAATTGAAAAAACACCTGCCCGAGTCGTACTTTTTTCTCAATTCATAACAGACTTTTAATAATACATCTTTTTCTGTATGTAACGCTATCACGTCAAAATATGATAATGATTATAATAAGATTTCAGTAATTGATTTTATGTATCCAGGACCTAAGATTTCCACACGCAATTTTAATATTCAAGGTTTAATTAATAGAAAATAATATAATTATAATTTTTACACAGCAAAAATGGAATCAATCGCTTGAGTCTGGACTTCCTTCACTGTTCGTTCTGGGTTCTCATTACGGAATTTTGAAGTATTCCTAAAATAGACATCGAAAGTTCAATTTCTATGGTAAAGCGAATATCATTATCTCCTTTCCCTCTCTAAAGCAATTTACATGAAATGAAGCCGAAAGGATGTCCAATGGACGCAAATTGACCGCACTTGAGCCAAGAGTGAACTTGAAAATAAAATAGGGTCAACACGCCTCGGGTCACGAACCTGTCAGTGCTAGCTGTCCACCTTCGTCCATGACTGACACCTAAAAATTAACGCTAGATTATTTAGCACTCGTGAAAGTTGTTTTATAGGCTAGCTCGTAGGAAAACTATAAAGTCTAATTTTGACGTATATAACTGCGCATGACAAGCATGTTTAATTCCATTGTGCGTTCCCATAACACTTTTTACTCGAAGTAAATGTGAGTAGACACTTTGTACTGTAACTTAACGGTTGTTGTATGTAGTTTAATGCATTAGTATAAAAGATAAGCATCGATGCCGTACAATATATTTAATTAGTGTCTAATGAGCTGCGACACGGCGTCAGCGGGGATTAATAACACTTGTAAATGTATTTTGGTAGTGAAATTGAAGCTAAAAGAATGTTTTTCTTCTAAGTTGTGTTCATAACTAGGTACAAAAAAGCTGCTTTTTTATTACGTTTCTATAGTTATGTAGCATTTAAAACAATCGTTTAATTCTGTCTTGTACATCGAACGCAGATTTTAGATTTACAGGTCGTTGGTACAACTTTCCCCCCTGCCAAACCAAATGTCCCCCGAATCCCACTCTTGCGCATTTAACGGTGGTTATTTTTTGAAATATCGATTTCAAAGACTTTTACATTTAAAACGTAATCAATAACTAAATAGTTGCTGAGGTAAATGCACTAAAGAAGATGCATTGCAAATTTTAATAAATACAGACTAAGTACTTGTTGATAGAGTTCGGCTCGGTACAATTTTGGATGTGCGTTTGAGACCCGTCCTTTTTTGTTTGCTAAAACAGTTTTTAAGCTCAAATGTGCTAGTGTGATAATTATAGCAAATTATAAATGATAATTGTTTTTAATTTCCATTTCAGCTACTCTCCTTGGTTCAGAGTGTGTGGTCTCGGAACAATGCACTCTGAAAGTGGCGTACAGTGCTTGTTTGGAAGGCGTCTGCCGGTGTACCGACGGGCATCTGCAATTCAGGAAGCATACTTGCCTTTCGCGTAAGTGCCACTGTATAGAATAAAAAAAACCGAGACTTTGATAACTTTATCGTATAATTTAAAAATCATTTTATATGAAAAAAAAGTATGACTTGAGCGGGACTTGCAACCACAGTGTTCTTGCTGCTTATCTAACCAACCGTGCCTTACACGACGGATAAATTCGACGATAAAATGTAATATGTCAGTTCAAGAGCCGCCCGTGTCGTAAAATGTTTTCAATCTAACAGACTTTTCTTAAATTATTTCACAGAGTGATACATTCAAAATAATTAATATATAAACTGTGGTTAATAGTTGCAAGTTATTTTATAGGTTTACAGTCACGAGAGACGTCATAATATGCAAAAAAAAATGTCCACATCTTTTTCTTATCCTTCTGTGTAAAGCGTGGCTGTCTTAAGTTCGTATCTCAGCCCAAAATTATCAAGAGTATAACATGAATAGGGCAAGGAGTATGTCTCGTGTAATTTTTACTACGTTAATTAATATGTACATAGATACTTCCGACAAAAATGGGTATCTTTGGCGGGGGCCTATACCCAAACCGGGGCCCTTATTATTATTATTTAGATACTTCTGACGAAATGTTACAAGATTATTGTTAGCTTCTATACCACGACTTTCGTTTTCACATTTACGGGTCATGATCTCTGTAATGGACGTTTAGCGAAATCTCGAAAACTTCAAAGCCTATTATAACGCCAAATAGATCGCCACGACAGTTGTGCGATGAAAGTGGAGATAACTGCCGATGGCCGACCATAAGCGGTCATCGTGGTCATCATGCCTAATTCAGAGAGGCTACTTAAGTGCCTTTATGGACCGAAATGTTCCCACCGAAACCAAATTCGACCCACGTCTATTTGAAAAGTTAAAATAAAATTTAAAAGCCTGTTTTTTAAATTGTAGGTATATAATCGTACCATTTTAACTGGTTAGTGTTTTATTTGAATCTGCACTTTTTTCAACTAAATACTTAATTCAGACAAGTAAGATTAGATATATAAAATTTGAAAATAGGGTTTTTAATTTATTTAATTTTTTTAAGCAGAGATGGGCCTAGTCTGTACTACTCGCGCAAACCACAGCCAATACTTAAAATTGTACATTGTAGTCCCGTTTTTTTGCCCAGTGCGGTCCCCGATCTATTAAAGCAAACACCTACAAACAAAAACCTACTTACCGTGTGTGGCCTTTCCGACTGCTTAATTTTTCTTTTTTTTCCGGAATTTGAACCCGGAAACTCTCGTGCTTAATGCAAATGCTAGGAACTAAAAAGAGACGATCATATAAGTTTAATCGAAGGAATTTCCTTTTACGAAGTTAAATTCGTTAATAGTAGTGGAAAAGTACAAAATATTTAAATAAAACACTTTTAAGGTTTTTAAAAAATTAATTGACTTTAAATTCGCGCCCGACGTTGCGTTTCAAATTAAGTTTAACTAATATATCGCGTTTTTAAACTGTTAAATGGCAATTTTATTTCCAAAAAATATGTACTACTCGCTTAACTATTAGACAGTATTTAAGTACAACATATGTCAAAAATATATCCGTCCCTTGCACCAGTATAAGCCAATATTTAAGTGCGTAAGTATACCATAATAGAAGAAGTCGTTTTCTGCACGAACAATGAACTTGTAATCACAATGACATTATCCTAAATAATACCATAAACGAATGCTATTATGGTTTATCTCGGTTCTCTGGGAAAAAGTCTCTTTATCTACGTAATAAATGCACTTTCCGTGAAGTACCTACTCTTATTTCCGTAAAACATGGTAATGCCGTGTAATGCGATCGTAGTGTGAGAACGCAGGATTGACATATTGTAACAAAGGGTCGACAACTGCAACATCTTATAGTGCGTTTTCGTTTTTCTTTCTTTCTGTTTACCTCGCCTTTATATAATTTAAGATATGTCAATTACACAATTCTTCTTACTTTGCCATAACTTTATCATTGACTAGCTGTACTCGCGACTTCGTCGGTGTAGAATAGTTATTTAGGACACCAAAAATGTTTTTTGCATTATTGCATTTCTCATGTTAAACATCCTGAAATCATTTTTTAAAGATAGATACATACATACACTGGGCGGACATTTTTTAAGTTCGTTTAAAGAGAAATTATTCTTTCATACATAACGGAATTTAATTTTTAACCGTTTTCCACACATTTTCCCGTGTTTCTTTGCTCCAATCGGCCGTGATAGCTTTTCTCGATACCAAAACATTTTTTTTCAATTCATTGTTGAGATAAAACAAACTACTCAGCGTCATATTACTTAAGTATAGATAAAAATATGACTAACTCGCTTGACCGTTTATTAAAGAGGATCAAGAATCTTTCCACAGTAGCCCGTTTAACCAAGTCATATTAAGTTTTTGTATACAATGACGATCTCTGAAATGCATATCATAATGAACCGTGACTAGTTTAAGAAATTTCTTTTCATAGGTTCTGATTAGCAATTACGCAAATTAGTTCAATGCACAGAAAGCCACTTAATGAGTAGAGCGTGAAATTTTTAATGATAGGTTTTCAGTAGAGTCGATATTTAATAACTAAGTTTTTCTACAATAATTAATTAATGTAGATACTAAAAAATACAAGACTTTATATTATCTCAACCCCAATTCCATTATGATAAATAGGGATGTATATTGTAATTCGTAATGTTCGAGCCCGGTGTAAAAATGCCGGCTCCTCGAGAAGAAGATAACGGACCGCGAGGCATTTTGGTACAGAGTCGTCTAGGTGTGCGGACCACTGTCTCTAGTGACACGTCACCAAGTCTATTGAAGTGATTCATTACTTTGCCAAAATAATGATATACATAATGGTCATACCTGAATCTTACATATAATTATTTTATTTCAGCGGCACCGCCAAATCACGTATGTTACAGCAACGAGCATTGCCGCCTCTGGGATAAAGATAGCCATTGTGAATTCGTTATACCAAATCTCTTTGGGCGATGTTCTTGTAATTCATTTTTCAAGAAATCTGGAGAAAAATGCCTACCAATGAAACTTCCAACGTACGCACCAGAAGCAGTTATTGCTGAACAAGAAACTATTTACGACGTAGCTAACGACACTTCGAATAATTATGAAGCAGCTAGTCTCAAAGACCCTACAGGGCAAGCCAATCTAGTCTTTCCAACAGACGATGTCAAGCCAAGTAAACCTCCAATGTTTACTAGTAAAAATGACGTTCTGAGTACTCAAGAGGACAGTCCATTGATGCAAGCAGTTATGAAAGTTCCATTTGTAGAACAGACTAAACGGTTGCCAGTTTCCACAAGAAAAGATGAAGAACCAAATGAGTTAATAAAGTCTGATGAAATGACAGCTAATTTGCACGCTAATGATCAACCTGTCTATAGAGTAGTTACCCAGCCTTCGATGGATAAGAAATCCAACAAGAAGAGTGGAACTTCTAAGGAACAAAATGGCAAACACAAGGGTCATCAGAAAAAATCTTCACTTAAAGGTATAAAATATTATTATTTTAATCAACAAAATGTAATTTCTAGGCTACTCTGAAATGTTATCCCGTAAGTAATTAGGCGTCTAACCATGTCAAAATAACAATAGTTGATATTTGTTGTAGCTTAATGCAAAAAATTGCAACAGGCATTAAAAACTGCTTTAAAAAAGTTACAGAATTTAGTTATAGAATTTATTGCAAACGAGTGTCATATAAATCACAATAATCAATTTAATAAAATAATAACTGAAATTTTCTACTAATTTCTTTCTAATTTCTACTGTGCATTTCAGAAAAACAACGTGTTCGAGCCGACGGAGTAGCAAGTTTGGATTTGGGTCCAGTGTCTCTGGGCATGCCTTGTTACATCGACAGCCAGTGCCAGAAAGTAGACCCGAATACGCGCTGCCTCAACAAACGCTGCGACTGCACGTATCGTACCAATTCTACTGCAGCATGTTCTGCGCGTAACAGAGGATGTCTTCCTGGCACATTCCAGGTCAGTTTCTCTGTAGACTAACTTTAGGCATAACATCGTTGGATTACGTTCAGATAATAAGGCTAAGGCTTATCTGTTCATTAATATATCAATACGAAAGTTTGTAATGTCCTTTGTTCGTGACTATTTGATACTCAAATGATTGGGTGGATTACAGGACAGCGACTTCGTCTACGTTAAGTAGTTATTTTGGCCATCAAATTTGGTTTTTGCAAACCTAATCATCTTTATAACTTAAGCGGTTATCCAAGACGTTGGTCGTGGATTATTATGCAAAACATCCTGTCTCCTTCCTTTCAATAATTTCTTACTTCTTTTATCTACGAGAGTGGGTTTTAACGTTTGCCTCCCCTAAATTTGAACAGTTGAGTTACGCTATATTCTTCTTGTATTTATGTTGACTCCTTATTATTTATTTTTCCAGTGTCGATCAACAGGCACCTGCATAAGCTGGTACTTCGTGTGTGACGGAAGAAAGGACTGTCCAGATGGCTCCGATGAGAAATGTTTAGGTACTGGTAAAGGTAATCGTCTATTGCACCTTTCCTTATCCGCTGCACTCTTGCGTCTTAACTGTGTTACTAAAGACTACTCATTTTCTTTTTAATATAGGTTTTTTAACCATTTAGTAATGTATAATGAGCTTAACGACAATTATATGTATATAAAAAGTTTGGGTAAAAAGATAATTAAAGTCCAATTTTCAAATTATATGATACTCACTAATAAACATTGTTTAACTTAATTGTTTTTTTTACTAAATTTTAATACTTGTTGTTTATTTAAGATTTTGTATACAAGTATTTGATTAGACTTATTTGCAAGACTAAAACTGTGTTTCCGAAATTCGAACCTTTAATTTGAGAGATGTTTCTCCACGCTGTTTTACAATGTGATTAACTTTTGAACTATGAAAGCAGTTTGGGATGGTAATCATAATTACGTCGCGTAAACACAGTCTGCTAATTACAACGAAGGTAGTTAAATAATTTTTTGTTTATGTATTTTTAGATGGTACAGGCGAGCGATGCCCCATGCACGCTTTCCGCTGTGGGGGCCCAGGATCCCCGTGTGTTTCTCGTGCTTCACGCTGTGATGGAACTCCTCAATGCCCAGGTGGAGAGGACGAAAGGAACTGCAGAGCGACACGACGCAAAGGGTAAAGATTTGAACTGAATAGACACGACTAGTAATAAACGTTGTCGTCGTGGATTCGAACCCCGCCCGTTTCTTAGATGTTTTTCTATTGATTTTTTTTTACTTACCTTCTTGGTCCTGACGCGACTTTAATAAATTATTTTAAAGGTGCAAAAAGTGAAAAATTCTTTTACGTGATTGTAAATGTCAATAAGGCGTTGTTTGTAGTTTACGCTAGTAGTACACTCTTAAATAAAACTTTTTGAACTGTTTAAACCGCGTATTATTTAAATTATGTATATAATATATATATAAATTTAAATAATTCGCGATCTCGTATGCTTTCTTTTACCGCCCTATGTCCATGCTTTACGGCAGTCGTGGTCACGGGTAGAAAGAGTAGAAGTTAACTAATATACTTTGAATTTTTAAACCGTTAAAAGCGGTTTCATTGTAACACTATTTTTGTAAATTGATAAACGCGAAACAGCCCTGTTTTTATGTAAACGTTACGTGTTGCACACATGGAATAAATTTACACGAATCCTAAAAGTTATAATTATCATCGATTAAGAGTCGTATAGTATTTGAAAAAACTCTCACGCCTAGTAAACAAGATAATTACATCAGCGTAATAGATACGCTATCAAACAGGTTTAACGGTTCGCATTCCTCTTATCCAAGCACAAGTGTATGTACTCTGGTACCATCATTGTTAACCAATAACCATGTTATGTTTAAGATATGCAGTGCACGGATATGTGCACGGAATGTGCCTTACTTTTATGTTCCTAAAAATACTTAAAGCGTCTTTACACGCTTAATAAAGGAAACTCTTGTGTACAGTTGGTCCATACTTATTGACAACAGAAAATAAACAAAAAATAAAAATAATTCATTTCCAGTAGTTTACAGAAAAGTAACAAAAAATACAGCAGTTACATACTGTCTATAGTTTACGCGAGTAGTACACATTTAAATAAAACACTTTAACGGTATAAAACGCGATATATTAGTTAAACTTATTTGAAAATGATTTTTAACCTCGGCCCGACGTTTCTTGACCACGTGACCACGGCTGCTGCAAAGCATCCGAAACGTCGGGCCGAAGTTAAAAATCATTTTCAAATAAGTTTAACTTATATATCGCGTTTTAAACCGTTAAAGTGTTTTATTTAAACAGCAGTTACATATGAAAGTATACAAGGAATAGAATAAAGCTTGGGTTTAAACACATTGCGATATGCAACAATGGCCTCCGCGGCTTTCGGCGTTTGACAGTAATAAAAAAAAAGTAATAAAGTAAATTAGTATTGCCCTACAGTTGATCAACTGTCTTGCCTGGCTAAACTAAAATATATTTATAGCGTTTAACGTCATTAATGGCGTCTATTGGTACAACTAATGATAATATTCGACAGAGTAAAATAATACGCAGCTTTAGCATAGACGTGGTAAAAGTTTAATTGGTCAAGAACGTAAAAACAGTTATATAAATATTAGAACACATTGCCTATAAAAAGATAACATATTAGATTAGAATATGCAATCACACGTTAGATTGTTTATCCTCTAGTGAATCACCCGACATTATTCAAATTAAGATCAACTCTTATCTATTAAGTATTATATAAAACTTTAACAGAAATTCTAGGCAGCCTATCAATTAAGGTACAGAGACCATTGGGCAAAGAATAACGCAGTAGGTAATGGAAAAATTATTGAAAAAATTACAGATGCCCGCGTCACACGTTCCGGTGTAATTCTGGAGAATGTCTTCCTGAATACGAATTCTGCAACGCGATCATCTCCTGCAAGGACGCATCTGATGAGCCGCCGCATCTATGTAATGAACAGTCGAGGTAAGAATTTGAACAGAAGCCATACGTTAGACAATACAGGAGGTATACTACTAATAATTCTTGATCTCATTTATAATTGGTTCTCAAGTTATTAGACATGATTTACGGAAAGCCATAGTAACTACTTATTAAAATTTTCAACCGGCTGGTTTAACATAGTTAGATGTGGAAAATTGAAAGTCCAAAATATAGCGTTGAAATGAAAGTAAACAAAAACGATTCTGTATTTAAAACAAAGGAATTATACTTAAATAAAACACTTTAACGGTTTAAAACGCGATATACGTTTCGGATGCTTTGCAGCAGCCGTGGTCACGTGGTCAGGAAACGTCGGGCCGAAGTTAAAAATCATTTTCAAATAAGTTTAACTAATACATCGCGTTTTAAACCGTTAAAGTGTTTTATTTAAATGTGTACTACTCGCGTAAACGATAGACAGTAAGTAATTATACTTTCATGTTCAGAGAAACAAACACACAAACAGAAAAACATGCCGAACAACAGTTATGCGTTTGAAAACGAGTTTTGATATTCCATGTTAAGGTTCTTTCTAGGAAATGGAGTAGGTTATGTACATGTTTCTCTATTTACACAGATGGCGGGCTGCAGACTTCTGCCCGCTTCGCTGTGGAAACGGTAGATGTCGCAGTACAGCTGTGGCGTGCTCTGGGCGAGATGGCTGCGGCGACAATAGCGATGAGATAGCTTGTTCCGTTTGTAGTAAGTAAAAAATTAATGAAAGGCAAACATGATTTATAAAGAAGAACGTCAAGAAGGAATGTCAAAAAGAAGGCCGCTACAGACCTTTAATAGTTCCCATGGCTGGGATTCGCTTATCCTAAGGCAGTTTATAACCCTTTATCTAAAACGCTGATCGATAGTGTGGTGGCAAATGAGACGCTTAATCTACCGACGTATACTGCCCGACGTCAAGGCTGCTGCAAAGCATCCGAAACGTCGGGCCTAGTTAATAATGTGAATAAAGTGAACAGACTACAGTATTAAAATGACATACTTCATAGATTATTATTGTTTCATCACATTGGTTTCATCCACGATACGTGCTACCTCAATGTAAAAAAATGGAAGCGCGACCGAGTATCGACTTCTTGTAATATTAAGCAAACTCGGCTTTCAGTTCAATATTTGGTCCTAGAATTTATGACACGTAACAGAAGGTATATCAAGGAGACGGTTATGTACACTATCACCGATTTTACCACTTGTTTAAATATTATATAGATAGGCACATGTTTCAGCAGTCTGTAACAAATTTATATTGTCTTTACAAATTGTTATTTACAAAGAAGTCTTAAAAATAATTTCAACGGCTTGAATAAAATTTACGCTAATTAAACCCTTGTGTTTCTCCTTTCCTTTCATATCTGTTAATATGAAGTTACTTTAAATAAAACAGTTTTTTCGGCTTAGAACGTGAAATAATGTATAATATGAATATGAATGTTATTTATCTTACTTTTTATTATGACCCGACGTTTAGGTTGTTTTGGTCCGTGGAGCCTTGGTCATGGAGGTACTGCAAATGAAAAATAAAGATAATTTTATTTTTTTTATTGTTGCAGAATGTCCAGCTGGACCACCAGCAGTCACGCCATGAAGAAACTACTCTTACTACTTAGAAAATTGACACAGCCTAGAAGATCTCGCACCTCGTAGAATTTTAATTGGTAGTGTTCTTTAAATTATTCTTACTATTCCTTACCTTATTTGCGAAGTTTAAAAATCTTAGGGGCATTTTTCCTATCCTATCTATTATTGTATGTATTCCAAAAAATCCTCACTTTTATACAAAATATTTTTTTCATTAGCTTTTACAGTAATTTGGTAATTCATTATAAAGCTTAGCTACAGGTTACACCGCTCAAAAGACTGAAGAGTTATACTCTGTTTCTTGCATTTCACTTCTATAAGAATTGCATTAAGTATTGTCTGTAGCTTACGCAAGTCGTACCTATAGATTAAATAACTTTTAACAGTTTAAAATGCAAAACATGTTAATTTATTTTTAACTAAACCCGTTGCTTTTAATACTTTACAGCAGCTGAGTAGCAATTATAGATAAATTAACGAAGAATTTGATTTCACGTTTTAAACCGTTAAAAGTTCATTAAAGGGTTGCAGTAGCTGTAAATACACACAAGATAATTAAGCCTAGATATTACTGTTTGATCAAGTTGTTTTAATAACGAGGCCTCAAAATGTACGAATCTTAGTAACGACCATAATGAATTTAAGAAACAATGGTAATTTTAAGAAACATTTAAAGACATGTCTAAAAATAAAACAAGTAAATCCCGTTTTCCCTAAGACTTCAGATAGACACCTTTCTGTGTCTATATTACTAATGGATTTTATTTACAGAAAAGTAGTTAAAGATACGTCTGTGTACGGTCTGACCCAAATAATTTTTCGAAAATGTTTACCCAGTCTACAAACCCCAGACCTCTCATGATCATACAATGCGTTAACTATTGAGCCACGGAGGCTGACAAAAATGAATAAATGATATAATTTTCTAGAAACTGTATTTATTTCCAGTTCTATGAAGACGTTGAAATAATTAAGTTTTTAATTATAGTAATAGATAATTTGGTATGTCGTGTTGTCGAGACGTTAACTTATTGTATTATAGTGTGTTTGTGTGAATGTGATAAATTATTATATTTACAATTTTAAGAACTCAGTGTCTTTTATTGAAATATTATTTTATAGCCTTGTTATATGACATACAGTCAAAACCTATTTCCCCTATTTGTCTAAAGAACATAAATATTAAGTATATGTTTGTTTCTTTGTTGTAGTTTACAGGTATATCATTCTAACTCCCCTTGCCCCATCCCACCGAAATTTAGCTACCTTAAGAATTATATAACATAACAAAGATGTTATTACTAAGAAGTAGTCTTATAAAAAAACACGTCAGCTCGGTCAGAGGCTAAAATTAGACTGTGTTTGACTTTTCGACTCTGTTTAACTAAAATTCGCACATACGCACATTCGCACGAAAGACATTCGTACGTGTTACAATAATAGTGATTAAAAAAAAACATATAATCATTTGAAAATATCGCTATCTATATATTAAACGTAGTTAGGGTAAAAAAAAACACAATTAATGAATAGCTTACTAATAGTATTCGTTAGTTAAAAGAAAACATTATTAAAATGCCGAACCTGTTTCGCATTTTAATTTCTTATTTGATTACGTTTATTTAGTACTTGTAGGGGCGCCTGCCTGACCTATATTAGCTTGGCCGGGCAAAGCTGACCTATAATCATTATAACATCAATATTACAAAATAATTTGACGGGTGCATGTGCAGTAACTATCGACGAAGCGTCTTACGCATGCGTTCCCAGCAGCGTTGGGATTCAAAAGCGAATGTGCAGCCTCCAAGGCTGTACCTATCCGGAAGTCACCCTTAAAATATCCTTTTTCCTTCCAATCATAGAACAACAGCCTCAACGCGTTAGACCATCAAGGATGAGTAAGTGAATTTTATATCTGTTTTAAAATTGTAAAATATTATTTTAATTTAAATATATTTTAAACTTGCGAAGATTAATAAATACTTATATGCTATAGCAATTTTCTTTTGCTCGTCGACGACGCGCGCACACGCATATTTTTGTTAGCAATTTTCTAATTGACCGTAGACCATATAAAATATGAGTGCTGCGCCATAAAGGGAGGGGATTAATATAATAATTTTGAAGTTTTGATCAAATTTAATTGTATAGTACACAGTGTATAATCGTTTATAACCAATTTATTATCTCACAAAACCGTTTTTTTATAATGATGCCAGGCGTCTGTAGTTATGTTACTGTGTGGTAAAGCTGTTCACTGAAAATTGTATAGTACATCTATCAGTGCAATTTAACGGTTTAAAACGTAAGAAGTACTTAAACTTGTATTTTATTTATTTTAAGTACGACCTAATGTTTCGAATGCTTTGTAGCAGCCGTGACCTCGGTGAAATAAATATTAGTTTAACTAACATATTTCACGGTTCAAACCGTTAAAAGTGTTTTATTTAAATTTGTACTACTTTCGTGAACTATAGACAATAATTAACTATACGTATAGTTTTATAATTTCCTTTGTTTGCTATATATAACTATGATTTTTTCTACTGAAATGATCTCCACGAAATAATAAGTGCGTTCTTTAAAGGAAAAAAGTATATAAATAATTATACTTCTAATATCACATACCATAATAAAAACGATCGATAATATAGGTATTATGAAAATCTAGGGTTCCGCCTGGAACTAGTGTATACGCATGTCCTAAGCTAGGTCCCTGGATGTAGCCTAACTATTGCGCATGCTCCAACAACTCCTTAGACCCGGTCACGAATCACTTTTATTAGCAGTTATACAGGACCTTGCCGATAAGTAAGGAGCAAGTTCCAGTGATTTACTTAATTGTGGGGAGGGAGGATAATAATGTCTTAAGTGTAGATTCTTAAACAAAATATTCTTATCGTGTAATGAATTTTCTATCTAATAAACTGATTAAATAAAAACATTGTTGCTTTTTTGCTGTGCATCGTAAATAGGTAATTAAATATTGTCAGTAGTTTATGAGAGTAGTGCACATTTAAAACAAACACTTTTAACGGTTTAAAACGCGAAATATATTGGTTCATGTAATTTTGAATTATTTTAACTACATCCCGACGTTCTGAATGCTGTTTTTTTATTTTGTTTCTTTAATTTTTATTACATGTATTCGGCATGCAAACCGTACAGTGGTTTGAAGCTAAGCTTTGCAACAGCCGCGGTCACGGGACGAATTTAACATAAGTTAACTAACTATATTTCACGTTTCAAACTGTTTAAAGAGTTTTATTGAAATTTGTCCTCTATTTCGTCTTATTACTGCTTACCGTATTCCTCTATCTAGGCTATATCGATGTAAATGCACAGAATTGTAGGTGTCAATCTTCTAATTAATCATGTATTTCGGGTTTCAAACTCGAGACCACTGACACTTACACAATACATCTACAATTGAACTACGGAGAAGGTAGATTTGGTGAAAGACTTATATACTTAATTTTCCAAATATTCTACATGTCTTGTCGTAATATAACGCTATAAACAATAAATGCTACCTGTTTATCTGTATTGTTTACAAAATATGATGAGTCCGCCTTTCTCATATGAAGTCTGTATTCCTTTGAATCTCAACAGAGAGATACGAGTATTTGTGTTAATGGAAATATCGACTTTAAAATTTTCCTTGTTGTACAAAGTTACGAAATGTGTGATCTTACCAATTACAAGGTGAGACGATTTAGTACGCATATTGTTAAAATGAGTTCATATGCCTTGCTAGGCCGAAACTATTGTTTTTAACTATTGAGCAACGGCGGCAAGTTGCTAATGTATCATTCTGAGCTATGTTTTATTTAAATAAAACACTTTAACGGCTTACAATGCGACATATATTAGTTAAACTTATTTTAAAATTATTTTAACTGCGGCCCGACGTTTCGGATGCTTTCTCTCCATGACCAGGACTGCTGCAAAGCATCCGAAAGGTCGGGCCTCAGTTAAAATAATTTTCAAATTAATTTTACTAATATATAATTGCGTTTTAAACCGTTAGTTTTTTATTTAAATGTGTACTACTAATATTTTGTTTTTCCAGAATAAGAATCTTCATAAAAAACGTCGGCAAAATGAGACAAATCAAAACCAGCCTGTGGGCTGTAACCATAGGATCGATATTACTGACTTTTATAATTTATCATCTGTATCGTTCTCCGCTATTACCACAATTCGAAGATCAGCCAATTACGCCTGCTGTAGAAAAGAATCATCCGCTAGTGGCCAGTGGTGACGATGACGACTACAGACAAATGAAACACGTTTTCCTGGATGAGATATACAAAAACTCCGTGGAAAACGATTCTGATTATTCCATTGAAGAAGAAGAACATGCACAAGGTAATAACGATATCGGAAATAGCAAATGTTTGTTACGATAGATACTTAGGGTACATAGCATTTACCCGCAGCTCTGTCTGCACAAAACGTGAAAATCGCTAAACCTAACTTCTTTTTGTTCATACACATATGGAATCTATGTTTGATCGGTTCTAAATAATAAGTTGTGGAGACTAGAAAACTTTGATTGACTGTCTTATTCACTGAAGAATTTCATGATGCGTTCAGTGCGGTGATTACAATGCACATACAACCAGACATACATTTACAGACAAACTATTCATATTTAGTAAATTATCATTATATTTCAGGTCGAAATATGTTAGCAACACCCGGTTGTAAAATTCCACTAATGGTAGTGCCATACAAGAAACGGGTACGAAAATCTAAGATTGAGCCTTGTGGACAACGAATTGTTTTCCTGACCAGAAGCGGGCCAAATCATGTGCGCGTATTGATTAAAGATGAATTATTGAAGAGGAATGCAAGCTATAAAAATCATTATTGTTGTATACGGTTCTATATGAAACCAGAATATGAATACGAAGATGGCAGCGAGTAAGTACCTAAATCAAGGCAAAATATAGTGTAGCTACTAATTTTATTCTGTGATACAGGAAGACAGACAGACATGGAGTGGACTATGGTAGGTAAAGCACCCCAGCCATATAATATCTAAGAAAGATGTAGACCTATATTGGCTTTTGGATATTCGGAAATCCACAGACTCACATCGAAACGCAATTAGACTTGACGGCTTTTTCATGTGTAGGCGTAGATTATCTTTATTTATTTTTTTCAAAATTTGCAGTTCATGTTTAAATTTCGCCATATTTAAGTTCTATTAAATATGGCACTTAAATATGTCGTCTTATAGCCTGTGCTCGTCATCATTAGATTGAAATTGTTTGACAACCTGTTAACCAAAATCAGTATCAAATAATTTTCCATAGACAAAATGACTATCAATACTTTTGGCTTTGAGATCATCATAAATAATTTTTTTTCAGGTTTTCGAGTTGTAATAAATGTGAAAACGGGGACACATTTGCACTGCAGAGCGACTTCATAAACGTTCAATGTTTTGGCTATGACTCACACAACGAATCTCGCGTTATCTACGACGATGTGTATGCTTTTTGCAAGAAGAAGAAACCCCTGAAGAGGAAGAGGAAGTGCGATGAGAGATATAATATTCTATTGCTGGGCATGGATTCAATGTCCTTACCGCGTTTTGCGCAAACCATGACTGACACTATGAGTTTCATGAACAATAACTTCTGGTTAAATTACAGAGGTTATCATAAGGTTTGTATTAGTTATATAAATATTGAACACTTTAAACGGACTCAAACTTGAAATATATGGGTTAATTAACATTATATATTTTAAAACTTAGTTAAATATAAATTAACGCCTTTAAAGCCGTTAAATTGTTTTTAATGTAAAACACATATATCGCCAACTTTGGAAGCAAATAATAAGAAAAATGCATTGTTCTAGGTCGACGACAACACTTTCCCGAATTTAATAGCAATGTTAACCGGCCTAAGATTTCAAGTATTTTCAGACAAATGTATTGGCCAGATGGATTCTTGCAATGAGTTATTAATTTGGACTGCATTTAAACATGCTGGTTACATAACAGCTTATGGTGAAGATTACGTATCACTTCCAGATACTTTTAGCAGAAACTTCACCTTCACCACAAAACCGACCGACCACTACATGAAACCCTTCTTCAAATTAGCCGAAAGATCTAAGAATTGTGAAGGCACCCCCTACTTATGCTCTGGAAAAGCAACGTCAGGACAGCAACTGCTAGATTACGCTTACGACTTCGCAATGAACTATAGGGACGATCCATTTTTCGGTCTATTTTGGATGAACTCCTTCAGCCACAACCCCGCCCATCGCCCAGAAGATGCGGACAAAATGTATGAAGACTTTTTGAACCGTCTCTTTTATACGGGCGTCCTCAAGAATACTTTTGTCATATTCTTTAGTGACCACGGCGTACGATTTGGTAAGGATCGATTAAACGTGGAAGGTTACTACGATGATCGTATGCCCATATTATTCGTCCTACCACCCACATCGTTCAAATACAAGAACCCGAGGAAATACCAAGCATTGGTCATTAATCAGTTTCGCCTCGTGACTCCGTACGATATGTCCAAAACAATAGGAGAGGTGCTTCGCATCAGTCAAGGCAAAGAGGAATCAATAGAATATGTAAGATTCAACAATCATCAGAGCACATTTGATATTATTCCCGGGAACCGTACCTGCCAAGATGTGTTTATAAGCGAGAAGTGGTGCAGTTGTCACAAATTATACCCGCTGTCCGAAAACGATGTGGAGGGGATCAAAGCTATTGAGTTTATATCTCGGTACATCCAAAATAAGACTACGTCCGTGATTACGAAGCCATGTACATCGTGCATAAATATAAACCTGGACACGATTCTACGCATACATTTCTATAGCGATGAGGATAAGATTAACCTTTACTATGTCATGGCGATTAAAATGGCACCAGGAGATATGGTCTACGAAGCGACGGTGATGCGTCGAGGCTTTGAAATGGAGGTGGTGGGTACCGTGAACATCATATCGGGATATAAGGGCCTGGGTTCTTGCACTATAAGCAATAGTTATAAGGATCGCATTTTCTGCGTATGTCAAAATGAATGTTAAGATTGAATAAGAGTAATGTTAGATTTCTTCAATACCTCTAATCATTTTGATGCTTTTACAGATCTTTGCGATTGTTTAATGTCGAATTTCCTATCATTCCTATGTTTAGGCAATATAGATATTTTTAACTCTATTTACAAAACTAATTTCGTTTATCTGTGATACTTTTTACTTGTATTTTTATTGCTATTTACTTGTAATAGAGTATTTTGATATTTTACGTTTAGAATCTCTTGCACTTCTGTATTTTTGTAAAGGTATTATCCTATTTACCTAATGCAGTTTTCTTGCGTATTGTAAGCGTAGTGAACACATTATATCTGTCTACTACATATTTAGATTAGAAAGAAATAAACGTTCCAGTCTCAGCTCTAAATTTTTCTTTATTAAAATATGTAATTGGATTTGTTTAACAAAATCATTTAAGAATTACCCTTAATACGTACATAAATAGAATTTAGGAATATAAACGACTAGCTGTGCCAGTGACTTTGTCGGCATAGAATAGTTATTTTGTGCATCAAAGTTCATTTTTGCAAACCTCATTAAATTAATATAGTTGTTACCAACATCGGTCGCATCCGTCGTTCTTGCGATTAACCTTAGTCATCATATAATGTGTCAGACATTTTTGGATCATGTAATGAGGAATAATTTTTCGATACATATTTTTGGGGTATTTTGAGGCGTTTCCCACCGAGGCTAGGAAAACACTCAAAGACAAAATTTTCATTTACTTCACATTGCTCACTGTTTATTCGCTTCTATTGGTAGTAGCGTGATGTTTTACCCTAAAGCTTTTCTGGAGAAATGCTCTTTTTAAATAAAGAAGGCCAAACGGATCAAAATCATATCGTCATCGCTATGAAGCTAGTTTTTCATTTGAAAATATTTATTACCAACATTTACTGTTTAGCTAATTAATAAAATAAAACTAACTGCCTTGAGCTAAATTATTGGAGAAACAATTGGGTTTCCTCAAGGTTTGAAGAGTTATTTTATTTAATTGTAAAATATTTCGGGATACAGCTGTAGTTTCAAAAGAAAACAAGAAATAATCTCCATCAATTAGTTTTATTACGTCACACACAGTAATTAATATTTGACAAAATAAAAATCATGCTATTGAATAAATTATTTAAAAATAAACAAATTCTAATAACTATTATACTTATTAAACCGTTGAAACAAATTTAGTTCTCAGGTCAATAAACTTTACGATATGTTTTAAATACCTTGACACTGGTATACGCATAAGATGACAGAGCTAAAATAATTTAGTCTAATAAATAAGGAAGTAGGGATTACTTTTCCTTATTCCCACCATATTAGATATCAAATAGACAGCTAGATAAAAACCGTTTTAAATGATTTGTGTACATTCCCAGATGTTCTTGTCTCCCCAGGATCCCTAGCGAATATTGTTATGCGTTTATCCTTGTTTTTAATAAAAAGAGTCACATGGGCGGCCACTCTTTGCAATAATATGTACGAAATGATGTCAGTTGTAAAATATTCATCTGGGCATATTTTTTAAACAATATATAGATACACTCTGTATCATGCTTTTCAACTCGTAATGAAATACCAATGTATTGTACTTATGAAAATGACTGCATAAAATAAATCTAAATATATTAGCGTTGATTAATAAATATTAGGAACGTCAATAATTACAAGTTACTAAAAAACGAGGGTCACACTGTAACCATTTTTTAAGAAATGACACTAATGCTAATACATTTTTTAATTACAGACCTTCATAATTTTGTTAATAAGTTTATATTTGTCATAGCTATTTTTAGCTTTACGACAAAATAACAATCGCATACAATAATAATTAAAATACAGTTCTTATATAACATAATATAGTTATAATACTAATAAAAAGTAATAAACTACATACATCAATTTTAATAATACTCGCGTCATGGAGGGCAGTCATTAGGAATAGTAAAAAATACTAATCTACAATCTTAAACATTATGTAACATGTGATGTTACTTTAAAAAATACTACATTTTGAACATTTATCATTTGCAATACAAACTCACTCGTTTAATATGGATTAGATCCAAAAATATATTTTCTACTTACACTATTACTACTCTGTATGTTGCAAGAAAATAATTAGAGAGAGCTAATTTAAAAGGCAAGGTGACAAATCTCTTGGAAAATGTCTTTTCATATCCAAGAACTTAAGATTATTGTAGATAATATATAAACATGTATAATTGTTTTTGAATCTATGGATTTCATGGCATCTCTCTTCAAAAGTGACAAATACAGTTAACTAAGCTATTATCATTTTAACTTGCAAGTAAAATATCTATGTAGAAATAAAACTGGAAGTCAACTTTATAGTCCAGTTTAGGGATACATTGAAAATAAAATTTGGACTCATTATGCTACTGTTGACTTTACCAAGAGCGGTGATATTTGTTTGCTCGGGAATATTATAAACAGGGATAGCTGTGCCAATGCCAAAGAAGCTCCAATTAAATTAGGAATCTGAAATAAAATCAAAAATATTTTTTATAAACACATAAACATATTCTGTCCAAGACATTTTTGCTGTAAATTACAATGCCAATAAAAAAAAATTGTAACACTTACAGTGAGGTAAATGTCTTCTTCAATCATACCATACAAGAACCACAGTGCCATCACAATAAAAGTCATGAGAATCATGGGAAATGGTAGGCATTCAGTGCTTTTAGTTTTTATCACATAAAACAGCTTACTCATTGGTGAAGCCACTGTTACTAATGTTAAACAACAGGCAAGTGTACCTTTAAAAAAAGTTAACTGATAACAATCTGTTCAAGTGATATAAATAAATATTAAATAAGCAATAATACTCACCAAGGCGGTTTAATAGTACTTCATTGTCTTCTTCTACATTCACATATCCCATCATAAATAAACACAACCCTACAGTGACATAAGACTGCCTCAACACTAAGCTTTTTTTTAAAGTATACAAATAAAATATTACAGTATATGCTATCATAAATATTACACCAACTACATTAACTAAAATCATGTTGCCATCATTTTTCGTTAATCCATACAGTAGCCATATGCTACACCTGAAGATAAAAAATATGAATTAGCCAAGATACGTGTAACGATAAATCTAGTAAGTAATGACGTGGGATGTTAATACTCACGAAAAGAATCCACAAGTAAATGGCAAAGGAGAGGCTTCACCAGTTGTACGGTTTAATATATATTGCTTGCATACTAAACTGGAATAAAATATATTGTCATTTAATATTTCATATCATTCAAAAATCTATAAAAGCGGTTAATTTGCTTACATGCCCGAAAGAAACTGTAATATTGTGGTAACAACGGCGAGACGTTCGACTAATTCTTTAAAATCTGATAAATACATTGCTGCATCCCATTACAAGCAATAAACTAAGAAGAAATTTTAATAAGAAAAGAATACAGCAACGAAAGCATTATTTGTTATTTAATTCATGTGTAGAACTGCCCCGCGTTCTATTTTAAGAATGTTTGTTTTGACATTTTTCATTGTCTGACTTTAGAAACGCCAACGTCACTGTCACATCTATCCTTATTAATCTATGTGTTTCTACAGGTTCTGGAAATTCGATTCTGGAACACTGACGATTGACATTAGTAATCCGAGTTATCAGAATGAGAAAGCCATCAAATATAGAAGAAGAAGAAGAACAACTGACAAATGACATGTTTTTATAAGTGCTAAGGCAGCAAGTGCTGCGTTGCTACTGCATATTGTTTTGTTTTGTAAATTATCGTAACAATCTATCAAAAGTCCAAAACGATTTGATATAATATGTTTCAATGTGTGATTTTAGTTTATAACATTGATATCACACAGCACGACATATTAACATAAATATTCTTAAAATCAAAGCGAGAAATGTTTTTTTGTACAAACAATATATGTTTTATTATTAATATAAAATAGTAATTTTTAGGTCTGTTTAGTTCTTGAAATATTTTAAACTTCTTGGCATTTAATAGTTAGTAAAGTGACACTTTTACTCTGTTTTAGAGTACACGAGTAGAACTGCGTCGTAATTATATTTCCTTATCAATCTTAATCAGTATGTACCCAAACTAAGTTTTTTGTTTATCAACAAATAATAAATGCTTCTTACATCAGTAAAATTTACCTTGAAGACATGAAGTCATTTAAGTTAATTGTACATCAGCCCAGCTTTAGCAGTAAGTATACCTTATATGTTTAGTAATTTAGTAAAAACGCGGAATCATGTGAAAATGTGGCATTTTCATTTTAGCCGAGGAGTTGATTATTAATTTAAAAGATTATCCTGGTTTGAAAGAAAGAGATGTGGTGGAAATATATCATCCCGAAAATGACTATCCACGATTACTGTTACAAGTTACGAAGGTTGATGTCCCTGGAAGAGGAAGAGGTAAAGTCATATAGAATAAAAACATTTTTTTTCTATTTAGTTTTATGAAAGGACTAGAATTAGAATATCTACTGTGTATTTCAATGTTTTAGATACCATAAGTGTGGAGCAGAGCATTGCTACTACGTTCCAGTTGAGGACGTTTGCAGATGTTTATGTAAATATAGTTAGTGCAGCTGATGTTGCACTTGATTCGGTTGAGCTCACATTCAAAGATCAATATATGGGACGATCTGAAATGTGGCGACTCAAAAATCATTTAGTAAGTAGTATATTCATTTTCAATATTAACATGTTTTTATAAAGGTGAAATATATTATAGTTGATCAGAATTCTGTCTCCTGATAAAACATTCTCATAAATCTATAACATTATCCTTTCCACTATTTTAAATAATTCATTCAAGTCTTCAAGCAGTCACCAAGCATTTAAAAGTTTTGTTGTTTTAGGTAAGCACATGCGTTTATATTAATAAAAAGATTGAATACTGCGGTGGGATGATACGATGCCAAGTATATGAAATGTGGTCACAAGGTGACAGGGTTGCGTGTGGTGTCATTACTGAAGACACCAAGATTGTTTTCAGATCTTCTACATCCATGGTATATCTGTTCATACAAATGTCTTCAGAAATGTGGGACTTTGATATACATGGAGACTTATACTTTGAGAAAGCGGTCAATGGATTCCTTGCTGATCTGTTTGCCAAGTGGAAGGTAATTTTGTATTTATTATTAAATATAAAAATGGAGGTCATGTTAAGTCATATTTATTTGAATAATAATTTGTGTAACTACATGTAATGTGATTCATTTTAGAAAAACGGAAGCAACCATGAAGTAACAATAGTGCTATTTTCTAGAACATTTTATAAAGCAAAGTCCTTAGAAGAGTTTCCACAGCACATGAAAGAATGTTTACAACAAGATTATAGGGGGAGATTTTATGAAGATTTCTATAGGTATGACTTGAATTGAAAATTACTTTACTTGCGTTTTAAAATGTTAAAAGTGTTTTATTTAAACACATGTTTAACAGGTCTTGTGGCAATTTACCCATTGTCTTAGTAGATTGTAATCTTTTTTATTAATATTTTCTATTAGGGACACCAATAGACTATATAATGTCTGATCATAATCTTTATTTATTTTGCAGAGTGGCTGTACAGAATGAAAGATATGAAGATTGGTCTAATGTGCTGTTACAACTGCGAAGATTATTTACAGATTATCAAAAAATTGTTTTGCAATACCATGAAAGGCCAAACCTTGATATACCCACAGCTATCAACTCTACGGCAGCACAAGGGAACTTTCTAGAAGTTCTTAATATGAGTTTAAATGGTAAGATTTAAAAAAGTAATAAGCATTATAGCAAATTAATCATACATATAATCTCGCTACGCACAAAGACAACGATTATAGGGCATTAGTTGAAGTGTTATAATTGTCATATGTAACATGCCATCGAAGGGCAAATGATTTAGGTTTTTTTGGCAATATCGTTTTAAGTATTATTTGGCTCGATGTTTCGGATACTTTGGAGCAGCCGTGGTCACGGGGAGACTAAAGATGGAGGATCTCTGTGATGTCAAAGTAAAAATTGCTACGCTAGTGCCGGGTCCTTGCAGAACTGATTAACGCTGTCTTCGCATCGGTTTTGCAAGGACGCGGCTAGTTTCGCCAAATCTAAACTTCGACCGAACAGATACGAACGAAACAGAAACGTCGGGCCGAAGTTCAAAATAATTTTCAAATAAGTTTAACTAAAATATATCGCGTTTTAAACCGTTAAAGTGTTTTATTTAAATATGTACTACTCGCGTAGACTACAGACTGTATTTATTCAATTACCCTTTTTCAGTATTCGAAAAGCACTACCTAGACAGATGCTTTGATAGAACTGGTCAATTAAGTGTTGTTATAACGCCCGGCGTGGGAGTCTTTGAGGTGGACAGAGAATTAACAAACGTGACTAAACAGAGAATTATAGATAATGGTGTCGGCAGTGACCTGGTCTGTGTTGGAGAACAGCCCTTACATGCTGTACCGCTTCTGAAGTTTCATAATAAGGACAGCAATTTGAACTCCATTGACGATTATTCAATGCCCCATTGGATTAACTTATCCTTCTATTCGACTAATAAAAAAGTGGCATATTCGAACTTCATACCCAGGATAAAGTTGCCACCGCGAAAAAGTCAAGAACCTTTGAAGAAAATGTATGAAGATGAGAGCAAGGGCAAACTTTTAAAGGAGGATGAATATATGCATAACTCTATTTTTGATTACGACGCTTATGATGCGCAGGTGTTTCAGTTACCTCCAGCTCATAGTACATGGTAAGTTTTAGAGCTCCGCTGATCAATTAAATCAATCGCCCAAATTAACACAAAATAAGTTTGCCCCAAGCACATGGCGGGGTGGACGGGTCCCTTAAAGAAAAGGTGAATAGTTTTTTTGTTTGAACGCGCTAATCGTAGGAACTACTGGTTCGAATTGAAACATTATTTTTGTGTTGTTGTTTGGACCATTTATCGAGGATCGCTTTAGGCTATACATCATCAGGGTGCGGCAAATCGAAATAAAGGAAACGGTAAATGTGTAAAAAAGCGGAGAAAATTATATTTTAGGGCTTCCGTTCATGCAACGGAACGCTTCAAAAATGTTATAAGATACGAAAAAACATGTATTAAAGATTGATTCCTCTAATAATAATAGAAATATTATTAATTTATATTAACAAATGTTATTAAAGATTCTAATTTAGTTTGAAATATTTTGTTATCATTTTTGGTAATTAAATTTCAGTGTCCAGAGAGTGGCAAGAACAAAGAAAACCTCAGTTGCCGGTCTGGAAGGAATAAGTAGGAAGAGTCCACCAGCTTCTATAATACATCAACGAAAAATGTCCGACCCCGATATTCACCACAGCTTGGGTGATATATTAAGTAGTAGTGGTAAGTTGGCTCTCAAAACTGGCTAGCTTGCTGTTCTACTATATCCTAGTCCCAGATTAGTTACCACCAGTTGTGTCCAATAATTTTATCCTTACCAGAAGTAGTTTTCTTTAATTTGTACGACTCAGGCAAACAGCAGGTTCATAATATGGTAGTAGTAGTAGTAATATTAAGCTCTCTTAAGATCTCTTTAATGAAAAAAATATATATTAACAGCTTTCTTATTTAACACCCACAATTGTGATTTTACTTATTTTTATAGCTTTATTTTTTAGCTGTGCCCGCGACTTCGTTCACGTAAAACTTGGGGTAGAAATTTTAAATATTTAGGTTGTTTATTAATTTATGTAATTGCGTATTTATCGCAGCCAATCTATGTTGTAAGTGCTACTTTGTCGCAACACTCTCACCTCACATCACTCCTACTCTAACTCCCACTCCATTCCGATTCCCAATCCCAATCCCAATCCCACTCCTATTCTCAAAAATCCAAAGAAGAAAGTCAATGTTCTATCTTCAAAAACCACGAATTTTCATACAAAATTTCTCCCCCCCTTTTAACCCCTTTTCGAATAAAACCCCTTGTTTTTCTCAGGGTCTATAATATGTGTACCAAAGTTTATCAAGTTCAGTAGTTTTGGCGTGAAAGAGTAACAGACAGACAGACAGAGTTACTTTCGCATTTATAATATTAGTAAGGATTTAATTTCATAAGATTTGATAATCGTAATGGTATCAATGTATCGCCAATAATTAACGGGTCGTGGCTTCGATCCCTACCGGGTCCAAAATTTTTCTAATCAATTTTTGTTTTTTCTGAAACATGTTGGACTTCAGAACTATTATTTTAATTATTGATTAAGAATTTATTCTTCGAGAAATCGAGGAGTTAACATCTCCTGATGATGCCGTCCTCCCGTGATGGCGAAACGTCGATCACCTCTTCTCGCTCACATCAGCCAAACAGCCCGAAAAACACTGATATGCTGAACGATGGCCGTGAAATGGTTAAACGTGAAATCATTGTTTTACTTACACCATTTATGTTGGAGTTCTGGAAATACCGTCCGCTTCACGAACCACAGCCCATAGATAAAAAACCGTGAAGTTTATTCGCGTTTCGGTTTCAATCTGTTGATTTCCGAATATCCAAAGCCAAAATAAATCGACAGCGCATCTTGTGCCCTCTCTCATAAAAAAATATATATTTCGCGTTTAAAACCGTTGACATTGTTTCAAATGACATTTTACACTTTCTCAGGCAAATACACAAACGAAGCGAGTAGTGACGCTACGGATTCTGCGATTTCAATCAATCGACTCTCACCTCGCAGTTCGGTCACTGGTCACAAGCCAGTGATCAGGACAGGACGGGCGCTTATCAATCCATTCGATCCTTCTCACGTTACTGTAAAGCTGACTAGCAATAGGCGACGTTGGACTCACATATTTCCTAAAGGTATGTAGGTGTAAATTCCCTATAATCTTTTATACATAATTGCGAAAATAATATTACAAGTGAAGTAAAAATTAAAAAAAAAATAAACAAAAATTTCAATGCTTACAACGTTTTTATAATATCAAACTACAAAAAATTTATACGAATTACATATTTAAATAAAACACTTTAACGGTTTAAAACGCGATATATTAATTTTTTTTTCAAATCAGTTTAACTAATATATGCGTTTTAAACCGTTAAAGTGTTTTATTTAAATGTTACTACTCGCGTAAACTTGACAGTATCGAATTACATATTTCAATATAAGTGTTATAGAAATGTGTTTAGATGCGTATGTCTGTAAAAGGTCCCACTGGAGTGCTGATACAGCAACATCACTATCAGGCGAGACCGGCCGGCGAGTCCACTTCAGCGCGCGACCCTCGCTGCGACCACGACACACCAAAAGACAACGGCAATACCATGAACAACAACCACCCAGTTTACCAAGTTGACGGTGAGAATAGTATGATAAAATTTCATATTCATTTGAGACGAAAATTATAGTGTATGCAGTAGTTCACCCGGGTAAATTAATTAAATAAAACACTTTTAACGGCTTAAAACGCGAAATATATAGTTACTTATTTTTACTTCGGTAGAACATTTCGTAGTTAGAATAAATTCAAAATAAGTCAACGAACATATTTCGTGTTTAAAACCCTTTAAATGTCTTGTTGTTACATGTGTACTACTCGCGTAAACTACAGACAATTTAAAAGTATTTCATTTTGTTCATATTTATGTTTAAGGGGAATTCTATATAATAGTTTATTTTATAATAAATACTTGTCCTTGATATTGCTTATCTTAGAATACCCATTGTTACAAAACTATGTAAGTATACAAATTGTTCTAAAATATAGCGCACACTACAAAACATACTACTTGGATATTGTTTTTGTTGTGTAGTCGTAGCATTGACAGTTGCTTTCAAATTCCAGGCAATATAATTGGTCGCAAGCGCATGATAAGCGCGTCTGGTGCTCTCAGTGTTCTGGGCACAGTAGTGGGTACACCCACAACAAATAACGCTTCGTTGGCGCTGCTGTGGGGAGCAACTGGTGAACAGGAATGGACTCCAGCATTAACTACAGGTATACAATAAAACAGGATCTCAAATTTGGATACGAAGGATTCGGTACTATAACGATGCAAAAAATACCTTACCGGGCCCCCTTAATTCGTAACAAATAGTTAATCTGTGAAAATTTCAACTGTCCTAATGCATAGTACAGACGGACAAACAAACATCCAAGTAAAGTAATTTGATAGGATCCCATTTTATCATTGGGGTACTTTCCCCACTAAGGATTTTGCCTGCACATTTCGACATCGAGATAATTCATTGTCTTTTTTAAAAAGTTGATTATGATTTTACTTTGTTGTGTAAATCTGTATCATACTTTATGAAAAATTGTGTGTTGCTCTGTTCATGTATAGCTGCATGTAACAAGCGATTTTGTTAGTTACAATCCAAAATATGTATTAACTAATCTATTATTAAAACGGGCCACATTAGGCAGGATCATATTTATATTGCCATTACATGGACAGTGGATTATACAAATACACATACTAACATGTATCTTAAATGTGTAAATATCGATGTTTGTATTCCAGCATGTACTTTTATATGTGGACTCTAATCAACAATACAACTGGGTGTTATCACTATAAGATACTTCATTGCAATATCATCGAGTGTGCTCTTGATACGAATCAGTTATACAAAGCTCAGATATAATTTTGTTGACATAAGGTTACGAGTTTACGACAAACATCAAAACCAAATTTATAGGTACCACTCGCGCACAGCAGTAACCTAACTGTTTATAATACATGTGGGCGCAAATAGTAAACAATAAATAATTCTCCTGATCAGTAAAATAACGGAGAATAAATGAGCATTTAATTTATTAGAGTAAAAAATTGAGGTTATGTGATTTGTAAACGTGTATTTACGTCATTAAGGAATGTGTGCTCGTGTTTAAATGAGTCCACACCCGAAAGTTTGTCGTAAAACTTCGAAGTGTCCCTCTTAAATAAAATAAAGTAATATCTCACATTACACGGAGATTGACGGGATTATCACCGTGGTTGAACAGTCTAGTTGTATTGTTGACAATATATAATGACCATAAACTTGTCATCACACATCTCATCAAGGAGGTAATTCTTAATAAAGTGACAAAATTTAGATGTTCGTCTCAATTGTATAAAGCTAGTAACGTAAACTATTAACTTATTTAAGAACTGCCCTCCCAGTTTCTTCATTGAAGTATCATTTCTAATGTTTCATGATAACGTCGAATTGAAAATATCAACAAATCACTATGGAATGTTGCGGCCCAAAGCGAATCGAGCAATAGGTTTGATATCCTTATCATTGGATTTGCATCTAGTAGTTAGAGGTCTTGCTTAATACTAGGCTCTGGGCGAATTCGAAGAAAATTCAACTCGCTTACCTATATGCTATATTACTTATTCTACAAACAAGAGCATGCGCATAATCTAATACAATTATTTTTTTCTCCAGACCAAAACTATATTTTTTCTGTCTTGCTAAGAAAAAAATGTCGCCCAGTGCATGGTATAAACTTTACACAAGCAAGGCCAAACTGTTCGTAAATAATCAGGTTAACAATTCATGCTTTATAAATAATAGCAGCATTTTTATACACATTATTTACATCTCAAAAATTAATAAATATTTTTATACTATAATATATATCATGTTGTTATCTACTTTTTGGCTCCAAAAACAATATTTCGGTGATTTAGGTACTTTGGACTTCTATGATTAATTCCAATGAAATATTTTTCTTTTGGTCTGCAATATTCCTTTATCATAATAGAATGTATGTTTATCTGTTCATTTTATTGTCTTGTAGCTCATTAATACTTTTCAGCATGCACTGAAACCATTATAGTATCACTTGTTGACACATAAATAGTATTGCATGTATTTATTACAGTTGAAAACAAACATTACATGGTTGACTGTTTCATTTAGTTGCAAAAGTTTTATTGTAAAATGCATACAATTAAATTTAGTTAAAACGAATTATTAAGTGTAATTATTCATCTTGAAACTAAGTGAACACGGTCAAAGCTTTTTACTTAAAGTTGCAAATCTGCGAAGTTGTACCTCTGCTATATATAAGTTAGAAACTTAAGAAATCCTTCAAAACGCGTTTTTCTAAAAAACAGGAGTGGATTGGAAATCTCTCACGATACCGGCCTGCCTACCGATAACCACAGATTATTTTCCTGACAAGCGCTCCTTGCAAAACGACTATTTAGTGTCCGACTATAATCTGTTGCCGGACGATGTCAATGCTGATTTTGCACAAAATAGGGCAATATATAAAGAACCTCTAACAACCATGGAGGTATTTAAAGAACTGGTCTCTCAGAGATTAGCACAGGTTTGTACATATTGTGTGTCTTTCTATCACTTTTATTTATTTTAGCTTGTAAAAATATATACGTTTTGTATAGCATTTATCATTTAAAATGTTTTTAACAAATAGTAGCGACCTTTAAATGCCAAAAAAATTGTCTAAACCTCTCACTATATACGAGCCACACAAGCCGTTTGATAACCCCTCTATTGACTCACATAGTCAGTATTGTGTTTTTGAAAACATATTGAAATATAATTTTCAGGGCTTCCAGTTAATAGTTGGTGTAAATGAGAATGAAGTTATAGAGTCCCACTGTCCATCGGCGCGCACCCCGCCTCCTTCGAAAGTGGCGCCACAGTGCGGCAAACCTGTGAACTCAGCACCAACTAAGCGCTACCTACTGTCAATTGGAAGAATTTTTCACAAACTTACGCTCGTCGGTTCTACTATCACCGTAACGAGATATAGACCGAGGTTATTTTTTAAAATACGATTATTTAAATAAAACACTTTAACGGTTTAAAACGCGTCCCAACGTTTCCAAAAAAACTGATTCTGAATACTAGCTAACGTAAAGACACCGTTAGTCAATTCTGCAAAGATTCGGCCAAATGCCAACTACGACGATACAGATGGTGCTAGCGTAGCAGTTTTATACTTTGACATTAGAGACACCCTCCATCTTTAATCTCCCCGCGACCACGGCTGCTGCAAAGTCTCTAAGTTTTTAATGTCCTACCTGCAAGTCTTAATAAATTATTAACTAGATTATTTATTTCAGACATCCATACCCACCGTTCAACATTCACTACCGCTATCGTTTTCACGCACCAAATCATGACACATACGAAGTTTCTTGGGTATCCTTTACTACTGAGAAGCTTGAAAATTATAATTGGAACTATATGGATCACTATATTTGTACCAGAGGTGACACGGACTTCGCTCTCGTTGAGGTAATGTTTTTACGCAAAAGACATTATCTATATATACCCATAACTACATCATAAAATGTTGAATCATACTCACTATAAATTTATTTTTACGTATTTTATTACGGCCTGCTTGAAAACGTCAAAACGATTATATTAATTTTATCACACAATAGATAGTATTTACACTAATTTCTTTTGTCTTGTTAAGGCTCCTAATTCATGCTTTCTTACTCTAACTCTTATAATTATGACAAATAAAAAAATGGTCCTTCGAGCCAGATGCTTTGTGGATGCCATTGAGGTTGATGTTTATTTTAATTCAACATGTTTCTTATATCTCCCCGTGACCACGGCTGCTGTAAAGCATCCGAAACGTCGGGCCGAAGTTAAAAAGAATTTTCAAATACGTTTTAAACCGTTAAAGTGTTTAATTTAAATGTTTCTTATGTTTTCAGCCTCTCAAATACTGGAGATTCCGTACACTGCTCTTACCACTTAGTAACCCAGCAACTAAACAAATTTTGGAGGATGAATCGACCCATTGTGACATCTACCCTGCACCCACGAGACACGATCTCGACCACCTCACCGAGGGATTCCTTAAAATGACTGAAATGTATTTTAATAAGGTCAAACGACCTAATAAACGGGTAAGTATGCCTCAGTTTAGGATTATATGAAAATGGATATGTATTTCATTTTCACTTCTTCCTAAGTTGTTGCAATAACATTTTGACTTTGAATCGACTATTGGTCCTGTACTTTTTTTCGTTGTGTACATATAAAGTAGCTTTGTTAAATTTCTGTATCGTAGTTAGACTTTAGCATGTTTCCTGCACTTGAACGAATGCCACGTACAGTTTGCACTGCATGAACTGAATTTGCACATTACTTTTACAGAAATAATAAACTTACAAAGCTTCGAATAATTTAACGAGACATCTTAATAAACTTACATGATGAATTCGCTCAAACATGAAATTCCAAATATCACCGCTAGATGTCGCATGTGTATAAAAATGTCTACACATTTCTAATTATATTCAATTATAGCATGTTATTGTGTATTGTGTACACATTATTTGCACAACTATGGTTTGCAATTTCTTGTTTGAGACCAATTATGCATGGCATACAGAATTTGAATTAACTACCAACTTTTAGATAAATTTCAAAATTCTTAAAATTACTTAGTTCAGCCTCTAAACCTATGGTTCAAGTCATATTTGAACCGTCGAAGATGGCGCTACTGTACAATTATGCCTCAGATAACGGGCGATCATTAAACTTTGACACGTCCAAATTCGGAGGCGACAAATCCAAATTCCTTTAATACCTGGATCGTAGCGATCCGTGGAGTTGGTAATCTTTTTAAGTCCGAAGATGGGACCGTTTCGATGTAGAGATACATTTCGGTGTGGTGCAGATGGCGGCGACGAGCAGCGCCACCGAGAACGCGCTTACTCGAAGGCGACACTCCACGTCCATCCTCACGCGGAACGCCCAGGTATACGGGCCCTCTCCGACAAAGTCATTGCCCAGACACATGGTCGAATTATGAAACACTAATTAAATAAAACAAAACACAGTTGTTTCACACCCAACACCCAACTGCGTTTAAATGGAAATTTTCTTTATTTTCAAATTTTATCGCCTTGTGCAGTTGGGTGTTTAATTTAGGTATGATAAATAATATTTCAGAGCTATATGATTAGTTGTTCAGATTTCGGCCGTAATTGCCCTCAGAACATTGTGTAATTATATGTTCCTGTTTGTATGCGAGATATTTTTACTCAATGTAGCTGAGGGACGTCAAAATTGTTTGGCCCCTATACATAATTCGTGGTGTAAGGGAAATCTTTATTCGACTTGCCTTTCTTACTACGAAAAAAATTTGTAGGGCATCGACTGTATTATTACAGTTTTTTTAAATATGTTAATATACTTTTAAAATAAAATACTTTAACGGTTTAAAACGCGATATATATTAGTTAAACCTATTTCAACTAGTCTTCCCGTGACCACGGCTGCTGCAAAGCATTCGAAACGTCGAGCCGTAGTTAAAATCATTTTCAAATAAGTTTAACTAATATATATCGTTACCGTTAGTACCGTTAGTGTTTTATTTTAAATGTGTAATACTCGCGTAAACTATAGACAGTATTTATGTTTATATACTATTTATAAATTAAGCGATATTTTACAATATTATTATTTAACGACCTTATACCTTTATAAATGCCAGTAAGTTGATATCAAGCTAACAAAAATAACGCCCATATAATACACCGCTTTCATTATTTTCATATATAATGAAAGCACAGTCATTTACTTTGCCTATATGTTTATCGCTCCATTAACAGTAGAGATAGCTGGTCCTGGCAATAATTTAATAACAGTATAACAAACTTAAGTTTTGAATAAATAATAACTAAATTAAAACTAGTGAGTAGTCTAGGAATTCATGTAGACTCCATTCACTACAATGAAGCTTGTAAGTCATATTAGATTAGATTTGCTATTGTACAGCACCGCTTAAAAAGTAAGTTACAGCACGGCGCACTATCCTGTAGTTGTTTGCTGGCTTTTTTAGGTAATCAGCGAAACAAACCTGATATTATTGCTTTGGATATTAAACCTTATTTGTTCTTATCACTTTATACGCCAGACCTCTCTGCCGTTATACTGAAAGACGTTACTAACAATTTTTTTTTATGATAGAGGCATGGTGTTGCTTTGATGGTTGGTCAAATAGCCCAGCCACATAACATCTAAAGAAGATAAGCTGTCGAACGATTTTGGCTTTGGACTTTTGTAATTTAAAAAGTGTATGAATATATGTGACAACAGAGTCACTATGTTTTATTTTGTTGTATTTAAAAAAAAATGTTGGGTTACGCCTTTTTGTTTACGGCAGGTTTCCTTGTATAGAGTACCTGAATATATTTATGCAAATTATCCTAGTTTATATAAGTTATATTAAAATCAAGCAAGGTTTAATATAACCATTGTCAAGGTGTTTAAGTACGTGTTGTGTGATGTATCAGGGCGGTGTTTCGAGCTCTCCGTTCAGAGAGCGACTTGGCAGTACAAGACTCCCCGACCGGCCGCGCCTGCGCATCGAGGCTATGTCAGTACCAATTGAGAGCTTTCTCATAGTCGAAGGCGCATTTAGGCCCATACTTTTTCTAAGCTAGGGGACCTATCTCATCGGTGCAATAGCTATTGCTTGAACAGTGTTAAAAAGGCTTTAATAAATTGTGTCAGGCTTTCACGGCCATCGTTCAGCATATTATTGCTTTTCGGGCTGTTTGGCCGTCGTGAGCGAGAAGAGGTTCGACGATTCGCCATCACGAGCGGACGGCATCACCAGGAGATGTTAGCACCTCGATAGCTCGAAGAAAGAAGACAAGCTTACGTCGGCCAAACGGCCCGAAAAACAATGAATGCTTTAAAGTTTTTGTAATTGTATAAGTAATAGACTGAGACTGAAATGCAATTTTAGTCCTATACCTGTAAAAATCGCTACAGTACATCTTACATTGTCGAGACGATAGGCAGATAGACTGTAGAATATAGTGGCTTGCTTGGTGTGTAGCTTTTATTCTTCTATTGGCTTGAGCTTTTGGCAAATCAGCATTCCTTCAGCGGGTGACCTATCCAACTGCTGTTTCGTAGTGATTAACGATTTCAATGTTTCCTTTGAACTAATTTTTTTTTTGCTTAACTTAGCTTACCTTTAGATGCTTGGTATTCTTATTCATGGATGTTTCATTGCAGCAAGTTTCTCCTTCTAAGTCAATTAATACTAGCCAAGGGACCAAGTGAGTACCGCGATCCGCTCCTTTTTTGTTTTTCTTTTCGTGAATACTGAGATCATTTTGTACGAACCTTTTGCTCGTCTATATGTTATATAGCCTATACATTTTTTCATTTCAACTTCTTTATTTATTAATGGGTATCGCCCACTTAATAGCTTGGAAAATAACCAATTGCAAAACCACCGTGGAACAAAACCGATATCAAAGATCTAATAAATTAAGGAACAATGCTCTCTCACTAATATGTTGGTCTTATTTATCGTCCTGTTGTAGCGAAGTAACCATTTTAAAATGTCCATAAGAAACGCGTACAAAGAACTATGTCACGAGGAACCAAAATGATGTCAGATTTCATACAAAACGTCACCCTCGCATTATATTGTCATTAGACTGATCATTTTGCCTAAATTGCTTTTGCAACTAATGCTTAATAAATATCTTAGCTTCTCGTCTGACTCAATAAATTTTTCGAACCCTTATATTTGCAGAGTTGCAGCAAAAACCGTTTTGGAAAGAACACAATCTCAAACGGGAGAATGCGATGACTCTTATGATGACGGGTAAATTATTTATCATCTCAACGTGTTGTCTAGCATTGCATTAAACGCGATTAATTCTAGTAGTCTAATAGTCAATTGAGTGAATATTGAGTGCGTTTTTTTTAGGAATAGTCTGATGTGATTCCCATACCTTTTAGCTAACCATATACTGAAAACAAAGTGAATATATAATATTTGCTTGAACCAAAAAGAGATAGAGAACATAACATTTATAAGGTTGGTAAGTAAAATATTCATACAAAGAATTAAAATAAATATTTTTATTTCAGGGTAATAGAACCAAAGTTAAAGATCAACGCGTTGTTATCAGATGTAATAGACAGAATGCGCAACCCGACTCTGGGGATGGGTTTCCTACAACAAACAGTCAGTTTACCATCACATACGTTCGTCTCCATTTATGCTATTCACTGGCTTCAGACAAACATGGAGAATATGTCTTATGAAAAGGCAACTAATATTATGGAGGTAAAAACTAAGCACAGTATAATAATTATAAATGTAACGTTCGTCCGCTAAGAATATTTATTTTGGACATCCAAATTCGTTTTTGCAAAACCCTGTATCTTTACAAACTTAAGCTGTTACACACGACGTCGGTCGCGTCCCTTCCCGTCGTTCTTATAAGTTCATCTTTTAAGAAGACATATAACTCGGGGGACTTTTTTTAGATCATTTAAAGAGTACTTTCTTTCGTACATATTTTTTGGGTATCTTTAACCGTTTTTGCAGCGTACGCCCTGGGTAACCCATAATGATAAATAATTTTCCTATTTTTTTTTCACATTTCCCGCTGTATCTTCGCCTGCATTAGTCACAGTGCGTTGTTTTATCTAATTGAATTTTTCCATTCGGACCGCATAACAGTAGATCCCGAGATTAGCGCGTTCAAACATACAAATAAACTCTTGAGCTTTATATACATATTAGTATAGATTTTTTATATGCTAGTAATAAGCAATTATTACACTTTAGTAATCTTAAAATATGATTTCAGAAATTATTACAAGACAAAATGATTTGCCACGCATCAGGGGATACATTCAAACGTTTTGTTGTCGGCTACTATATGTACCATATTCTACCACAAAAGAAAGATAAGGGTGAGTTTTTATAGTTAAGATGGAAATATGTATAGATAAATTATCCTATATAAATACCGCTTGCGTCCAATAGCCAACGACTTACCAAGCATTGCATTAAACATGAGAGGGTTCGTGGGTTCAATCACGGGGAAACAATAAATTGTTTCAGTCGAGCCGGGCCGGAAGTTCAACTAACTACTTTCAATTAATAAAATCTATCTTTAAAACGGACAGAGAGGTGCACGTCCAATACCCCACAAGGGGAAACATGATTTCAATTAACACTAATCGTTTTAAAGGAAGTATTCGAATTATATGTATAAATAAGTAGTACATATCTTTGATTTTAAGTTTAATCGCGTTTTAGTTTGTCTGTGGATTTCCGAATAGAATTTCAAAGCCAAAATAGATCGACAACACATCTTGTTATGATGGTATATGGCTGGGGTATTTTACCAAACATCAAGTGAAACGTGTCTGTCCTCTACTATCATAAAATTACTTCTTTTTTTTCAGAAATGTCAGACTACGTAAAACCATTAGGTGATTTGCAGAGCTTCGAAAACGAATGGATGGAGGTCGAAGTGTTAGGGCCCAGATCTCCCATACTAAGTTCGGAAACCAACACTGGCGCAATAGATATATCTGGATCCAGTCCTGTCATTGATGACTCGGGCATACCAGCTTTCCTCTGTGACCACATAGATCCCAACTACATGCAGCTAGGAAATGATGATAGTAAGTGATAAAACAAAATTCAAGTACGACCAGGTGTAAAACCGCTTTTAACGGTTTAAATAGTGTGATATTTGGTAATTGACTCGTTTACAACTTAAAATCGATATACGGATCGCATTCTCTAATATTTTTTTCAAATAGCGAACAACTAAATTATAGTAGTTATGATTTTTTTTGCTTTTATTCATGAATTTTAAACTTGTCATGTAATATGCTTTTGTAATTTTAATAAATGTAGCGTGGATGTCTAAAGCTAATATAGGCCATCAGCTCATCCTAATTAGATATTATAAGGCTGGGCCTATTATCAAACTCTTCGCTTGTTGTTAATAAAAGTATACTTTCTATTTGAATATGATCGCGCAGTTACAAAATTATTTCCTTGCAGTGCCATTATACAAGAACACCCACTTGGACATAGACGTGAATAACAAGAGCGACCGTATCGAGTGGGGCCACGCTCGCTACCAGGCTACCTTCAGGCCAGACCAAGCGTACGAGATGTGCATCCAGTGGGCTGTCGCTAGTGGAAACATCGTAGCTGATCTGGTAATTTGCGTTTATTAAAAAATTAAACTATTAAAACATAACTAAAATGAGGAATAAATTACTTGTAACGGGTTGAAACGCACCATTATCTACAGAAATAATTATACATATTATGAAAAAATGTAGGCCTATTTTTTTCTTAAAAGAAACTTTTTGATTTGTTTGTATTCAATTTGAAAAGCGATAGTTTTTTTACTCACTACATTGATTTACTAAACTAAAACAAATAGCGGGAAATGTGAAAAAATAATAATTTTTCAGGGTTTCCGTTGCGTACGCTACGAAAACGGTTGAAGATTCCCAAAAAATATGTATGCAATAATTATTCCTCTTTAAATAATCCAAAAAGGTTCTATATCACAATCTATACTAATATATAAAGCGGAAAAGTTTGTTTGTTTGTTTGAACGCGTTAATCTCAACTACGGGTTCGAAGTTCGAATCTCAACTGCTATACACGATGTCTTTTATGAATTTAAAACAAACTAACGCTATCTTCAATGACAACTCACGACTCCTGGATTTAGTTCTGTCCACACTTCCAAGTAATGTCATTTCCTCTGCTGATCCACTTCTAAATACCGTACCTCACCATCCAGCCCTAGATATTGCCTTAACTACAAATAGACTAACAACCTTGGCCACTGCCATTGTTACCCATAGAAATTTCTTTTGTGCAGATTACGAATTAGTAAATAATGCCTTTGAGAAAGTTCATTGGGATACATTGTTGTCCTCCCCCACTATTGATGACGCTGTTACCGCTTTTTATTCTGAAATAAATAATATTATTGCTACTTATGTACCACTTGCCAAACATAAATCACGCAAATATCCTATTTGGTTTGGCAACGGTTTAATTAGAACTTTAAATCGGAAGCAAAAAATCTGGAATCGCTGGAAGGTCTATAAAAATTTACGAGATTATCAAGAATTTTCACTCTTAAGAGCACGTGCTAAACGACTTATAAAACTAAACTATAATCGCTATATGGATAGAGTTGAAAAATCGCTGCAAACTAATATCAAATATTTTTGGAAATACACATCCTCTTTAAAGCAGACTAACACCGGATATCCTCAAATCATGAAATACGGTAACATTATATCAGATAAACCCACGATGATAGTTGAAATGTTTTCTGATTATTTTAAGTCCGTGCTTGTGCCTAGATCAGACCTTGTTCTTGATATCTCTTCTATTGATGGCGGTAGTTCCAGTGATTCGCAAATTCTAATCAATAATGTTAGTTTTTCTGTGGATGAAATCAGCAAAGAACTTCAGAAGCTTGATATTAGTAAAGGTCCAGGTCCTGACAATGTCCGCCCTGTCTTTCTTAAGCGCACACATCAGTCTCTATGCGTTCCTTTACATATTATCTTCAACAGATGTCTCTCCGAAGGAGTCTTTCCTAATTGTTGGAAATTATCCCACATTACGCCAATTTTTAAGTCCGGAGCCAAAAATGTTGTCGAAAATTATCGCCCAATATCAATACTTTCCGTAATTCCTAAAGTACTTGAAAGACTTGTACATCGACGTATCTATTCTAACTTTAGAAACGCAATTATTGACCAACAGCATGGCTTCACAACCGGTAAATCCACTGTCACTAATCTTCTAGTGTATACTGATCACATTTTCAATTGTTTAGATGACAGACAACAAATAGACGCAATTTACACGGACTTTAAGAAAGCATTTGACAAGGTCGACCACTTAATACTTTTACAAAAACTATCTTTTAATGGTATTAGGGGAAACTTACTACGCTGGATTACAGCATATTTGAGTAATCGCACTCAACATGTTGCCATAAATGGGTTCACTTCCTCTAAAGTCACAGTGACATCGGGTGTCCCACAAGGGTCCATTCTGGGACCATTGCTTTTTACCATATTTTTAAATGACATATCACGTTGCTTCGTTCATAGTAAATTTATACTTTATGCAGACGATCTAAAAATATACAAAACAGTTCTCTCACCATCTGACGTGCTTTGTATTCAGGAGGATCTGAACAGATTCGTTGATTACTGCAAACATAATAAACTATATTTGAACTATACTAAGTGCAATCATATTATATTTACTAGAAATAAAAACAAAATCGACTCTAAACTTACTCTTGGGAACCATTGTCTAGATACTGTAACTTTTATCAAAGATCTTGGAATCATTTTGGACTCCAAACTTACCTTGGATAGGCATGTAGACTATGTTGTTAATAACGCGTACCGTATTCTAGGTTTCATTACAAGAGTCACACGACCTTTTAAAAACGAAGCTCCCTACATATACCTTTATAAAATGCTTGTGCAGTCTCAATTAGAATATGCCTGTCAAATTTGGAATCCATTTTACGCTGTATACATGGCTCAAGTAGAAGGTGTGCAGAAAAAATTCTTACGAATTCTTAATTATCGCCTCAATGGTGCTTCTGGCAAGCACTACAATGACCTCCTTAAGCGATATAATTTACTTTCCTTAAGCCAAAGACGACACTTAATCGACTGTGTAACGCTTAGAAAAATATGTGTCAACGAATTGACTTGCTCTGAACTTCTCGAGCTTATACCATTTAATGTACCAGCCAGGCCTCTACGCATGCACAGAACATTCAACCTTCCTACTCCTAGAACCAATATCGGGTTCCGCACGCCACTCCACAGAATGTGTTCTTCCCTTGATCATTTTGCCGATATCGATTTGTTTTTGCACTCCTCTACTGCTTCATTCAAAAAAACATTAAAAAGATTGCTTATTTCGCCTTAGGTATTTCAATTTAATTATGTTTTTTTTTTTCGGTTTTATAGTTTTTAGTTCAACGTATAATTAATTTTATTTGTTTGTCAACTCTTATTAAAATTTTGTCTAATTTCCTGTAATTTTTTCGACGTTTTGTTCTTTTCATATTGTATATAACAATTAACTATTTGTGAAACTGTTAAGGATGCATTTTAACCTTATTTATTTTTTATTGTTATTCCCTAGCCACTTATGTAATGTATCTGTTTGTTTCCTTTTGCTAAATAAATAAATAAATAAAGAAGTGAAAAATTCGAATTCTTTTTGTGTTGGTTAGAGCATTTATCGAGGAAGGTTATAGGCTATAATACATCGCGTTGTGACTAATAGAAGCGAAGATAGATACGGGAAATGTGAATAAAACGTTTAATTTTTCATCTCTGCGGGTTTCAGATGCGTACGCTGCGAAGACGATTCAAGATACCAAGATAAATGTGTATCAAAGAATGATTCCTCTTTAAATGATTTTAAAAAATCCGCGATGCTATATGTCTATCTTTTAAGTTTACCTTTCAAGAACAACGGGAAGGAACGCGATAAAATCGCCAAAATAACGATTCCCGCGAACGAAGTCGCTGGCACAGCTAGTAATTTATAAAGATGTGAAGAAACTATTCTGCTGACACAGTTAGTTATATATACATATTCTACAAGAGAGAACATTACTATTTACGTAATTAATACGTATAACGTCATTATCATGTTTCCTGTTGTGTCGTAGATATTCGGGTGGGCGCGGAAGGCGCAGAGCTGCCGGTTGCAAATGGTACCTATTCCTGCCGATCCCCTAGCGCTACCATTCACTGAAAAATCTGATCCGCTAAGGGGGCCTATTTATGTCCCGTTGAACGAAGAGCCTCTGTTGAGAGGGAAAAGTGCTTTATTTGAAGGTAAATACTTTTTATGTTGGAGAAGTAGAGACTAGCGTGGGATTCACTCAAAAAAAGAAAGGTGAAATTAATTGATTTTGGATGTTCGGCAATCCACAGACAAAAGCCGAAACGTGATTTATCTGCATTGCTTTTGCGTATTATTTGTTTGGAATTTCGATATTCCTCCCACCACCCGTTTAATACCACTACCAGATTTCCATACGAAGCCCAACATGTTTTAGAAATTGGTTTGAAACATGTTGGACTCTGTGGGTATGGATCCCACGTTTTGATAATTATTGATACCATCAGACCAAGAAGCTCGACGAAAGAGTTGAAATTCTCGAAATACGGTCGAAGTAAAGAAGTGGATACACATAGAACGAGCACAAAATCGACAATACAACATTTTAGTTACAGTTTATATAAACATTTGGACACGCTGACCTATAAACACACATATCTAGAATGTGTGAAATGAAATATCAGACCGAGCGAGAGAGAGACAAAAAATGGCGAACAACGACGTAGAACGTAAAAAGTCGTATTGTTTTATGAGAAGACGAGAATAAAGTTTTTTTAGGTCCTCGCAAAAATCCCTGCATATAGATGTTAATAAGTCAAAATTACGCCTACCGCCTATCAGCTGAGCCTACATCCACGCTTACCATCAGCGACATAATTATGGTTTAATTTCTGATTGACAGGTTTCCCAGAAGAAGAATGGCCGGAGCGCTTATTCCTATTTCAAGAAGCGATCGTGGGCCGGTTCGGCTTTATCAAGTGCACCGTGGAGAGTACATCACATGCAGCTGGTGTTGGTGATCATCTTTATGTTCATGTTACAGGCAACATGTTCATACTCATCCCTACAGCGGTCAAATCTCAGCAGCGAGCTTTAAGGAAACCGATTAATAAGCCTCTTAATGCCAGCAGGTAAAATATTATTTATTTCTATAATTAGCTAAATGCATACAATAAGTATAATCTATACTAATTGTATAAAGCTGAAGAGTTTGTTCTAATGGAATAAATATTTTGTGTTGGTTAGGGCATTTATCAAGGAAGGCTTTAAAGCACTAGGCTGCGACAAATGAGAGCGAAAAAATAGAGGGAAACGTGAATTTTTTTTAGGAAAATGTTTATCTTTGAGGGTTTTTCAAGATACCCCAAAAAAAAGCTGTATCATTTAAAGGAAACTGTTTTTCTTTAAATAATACAAAAAAAATGTCCGCAAAAGTATATGTCTGTCTACCCTTTTATGATGATGGGCATAAAATTTGGTCGAAACGCTTTATATGGCAAAAGTACGTTAATCAATTATTTCTAGGAAATTCCTCGTGTGTAAGGAGTACGAAAGAATATGGTAACAATTGTGTTACGATGAATAAAGAATCACAATAGAAAGAAACAAATAAAACTAGACATTCCTTAACTAACTGAACTTCATTATTACTGTAAAATTAGATTTTTCTAATGAAGAGTGGCAAAATTACACTTATCCATAGAATTTACAAAGGATATATAATGTAGTTTAAAACTCGTAGTTAGGTAATAATAAAAGCAATAATTACCCCATATTATTAATTATAAGCACGTAACTTACAAGGCAAAATAATCGTGTCAAAACGAATATGTAATAAAATTGCGAGAAAGGTTATATATAAAATATAATAGTCAACGGGTCATGGCTTTGATCCCCACCACGCAACTTAATCATATTTCGATTTCAGTCTATAATACCCAAAGATATGTTATAAAAAAGACTAAGGGTTTTTTACCTTCCATCAAGTGAGCCCGAAGCTTGTCTGTTATCCTCCATTATATAAATATAAGTTAAAAGTTCCCGGACCGGACACGGTACGCTATCGTGGGTTCGAGTCCTGCCCGTGTCAATTATTTCAATTCGATATATTGTCAGTCCAGTGACGCTTAATTACGCTCGGGTTCAACTTTGTTGTCTGTTAAAATTTATGACTACCGCCGGTCATTTACAGGGTAAAGGTAGAGGGCGAACAACGGCATATAGCTATACTATGATATGACGTAAAGAGTCGATTAGGGTGAAATGATCCGGCGCGCCGTGCAATGAACTAAATGTACTCCAAAGTTCACTAGCCTTTAGATTATCAATGAAACACAGTTCGTATATAAGTGATAAATTACTTGGAAAGACCACTAAACTTATGTATTATACTATAGATTGCAGATGTAGTTTACAAATCCTGATAGTTGGAAAGATTTCCAATCAGCTTGACAATAAATAATTTGTAAATAAAATGATAATTTTTGTTAAATAAAGTTTCAAGGTCTATAGACGCAATACTAAACAAAGTAGATACTAATGTTATAATTGAATGTAGTTTAAAACCGTTTATTTATGTGACATTTTCCTTTAAGTATCTCTAAATTTCTCTTATTGCTATAATACCTGATAGATTGGTTAAGGACACGCCAAGGTTCGAAGCTCCGGGTACACATTAAAATGTTTCGGTCGGCAGGGAAGGAAGTTCGTTCAGTGTACTACAAGAGAAGGGGTTTCACCTATATATGTTATATCCTAAACATATTTTTTGTTTACAAGGTATCCTGTACATTCCGAAGCTGCACCAAGTCCCCATGAGGGTTACATTACACGACATGTGAGCGGAAAAAATAAGGACGACTACGACAATAGCCGGCGGGTATGTGATGTTCGCTTTTATTTACAAGCAAGTAGATAAGCAGAGTCTGTGCCCTGACCGACCGAAATAACTATGGGTTGTCTCTGTTAAAACTCATCGCAGTCGATAAAAATAAACCTATTTTTAAAATAATCTAAGGATGTCTTTAAATCATTTTATTTTTATGAGAAAATTATCTTTCTGTCTTGTCATAATATCACCAATTTATTGATTTTTATCACAGATGGGATTTCTATGGTCTTGGAATCACATGATATCTAAAAAATGGAAGTGGTCACAGACACCTGCAACTGGCGATGAACCTTTCCAAATGAGGATGCTGCGAGACTTTAAACACTTCTGTGCAAATCAAGAACAGAGACTGAGCCAATTTTGGGATCAATGTTGGGAGCTACAAGAGAAAGCCAAAGGGATTAAATGTTGCTAACATATTATTTGATAAAAATATATAATATTATAAACTCATTCAACTTTTTACTATATCTATACAAATATTATAGCCCTGTAAGTTTGTTTGAATACGCTAATCTTTGGTACCTACTAGTGGTTCCAATTAAAACTTATTTTGTCTTGGTTGATTGAGAAAGCGTTTAGGCTATAAAACATAAGGTTGAGACTAATATTATGATCGAAGAAACAGAGAAATCGAGGACTTTCGTTGCGTACGCTGCGACGATTAAATAAACCACAACACTATATGAAAGACTGATTCTTCTTTAAATGATCTAAAAAAGAATGCGACATTATATCAATCAAGATTAACTCAAAAGAGCGACGCTTATACTAGCTTAGCTTAGCTGATACTATTATTATTAATATATGGCATTCAGATACTTTGAGATTATAATCTTGGCAAAAAATACTACTATAGAGTAAATATTTTAATGTGATTATTTTGCCACACTCTGTTTGGAACACTATAGGGGAAACTAAAAATTTCAATTCATTTGCATGTGTATCTTTTTTGCAGAAAACAAACATTAATTTTATATTATCAAACATTTATTATTGCTTAGAAATACAAAAATATGAAAGATAGGTAACAAAATATGTTTTGTTTCATACTACAAAACTGAATACATATTATCTGTTCTCTTTCAAGGCACAATTTGAGACAATTTCCAAATTCATAATACATTCATATTCATTAGACAAGTGGCCGCAATACAATGGTAATTCTTAACTCACATACTGTTTCTCATAAATCATGCCTTCAAAATTCTAAATAATACGTCTCTTATTCAAGAAAAATCACAAAAAGATGTACGGTATCATGAAGTACTTAAAACTATCTATATTAATATAGGAATGGGGCAAGTACAAGTATATTTATTACTGGCAGTAATCATTGGCCTTACCTTTTACTTAGAAAAATTATAAATGCTGATATACAGTAATTAAAAAAAATTAAGATGTATTCCTATTATTCTTATGATATGTCAGTCTATGCTGAACAACTTGTGCACTGTTTTTAAGTACTACTTGTTAAAGCCAATGGATATTGATACAGAAGCTTGTGCGTTTTATTCATCTAAAAATATTTGAGCATAGAGATTCATTTACTTAAACATAAAAGATCTTAGTTCCTAATTAACATGAAATTTTGCTTATAGAATGTAAGTTTCTATGAGTATTTTTTTATGAATTTTACATAGATGTAAATACATTATTAAAGTTAGTTAATACCCACAAATGTAGGACTTTAAAAAGTGAAAAGTATTTAAGTGACTTAACATCAAAAGGCATTACTTAAAAGCAACAACAACAAAAGGCTATCAAATGAATTGTAGTTATTTCTTTCCAAACACAAGTAAACGGGTGAGCATACTTGTAACGCAGGGAACTTGCTTTTGTTGGTGCATAGTTAATATTTCAGGTGTGTTAGACTCAAAGTCGAGAGCCACTTTTTGACTAACAAATGTCAAAAGGGTAAGTATATCTCTTTCTGTCCCTGAATAACGCAACTCCTCACATAGTGCTTGCATGAACCAAGAACCGCGAGTGGTATTTCTCCAAGAATAAAAGCCGGGAACAGTTGAAAAGACTATCAAGAAATCTGCATGAATGGGAATCCTGTATGATGCGCTTGATGACCCATCAGTTTCGGATCTGTTAGATAGAGTAATACCCCCATCTAGCTTATCCCCTTGACATGCTTGTATAAAGAACATTTTAGGCTTTCCCGCTAATGTGGGACATTTATCTGCTGTGAAGTAATACCACAGATTATCTGGTTTGTAATGAGTGTCTTTGGCATACAACATACCCATTTCTCCGTGAGTCAGCACCGTAATGAGTAGACAATCATTATCAGAATGATCCATTTCTGCTGTCTGTTGTAGATATCTGTTCACGTCTTCAGATTTCAAATTATTCAAAACGGTGACGCGGAATCCTAAACCTTTCAGGACTCGGGATAGATTATCACTATCGACATTTGTTCCCGTACGGGACTTCAAGCTATGGATGTCGAAATGTTCGTGGTTAAAAATAATTGCCATACCACGGTTTTTGTGGTTCATATTGTAGAATGGTGCATTTCTATCCACTGGCATCTTAGCGTATCGTCTTGCCGATGATGGCTCATGGCTCCCCCAGGCATCGCCTTCATCTCCTCCGCCGTTAGTCCTTTGTTCTGTAGGGGTATTCGCATTGTCTTGCCCTTCTACGTCTGACATGTTTAGAAAATTGTTCTATAATGGCCTTCGGACACTAGAAGCACGACACCGAATGGCTATACCGAATATAGTAATCGCAACACAAACGATGACTATAAGGTAAATTAAAAAAACAACCACGAGCTGACGAAATTGAACGAAAACATGAAACAACGCGCGATACCTATTCTTAAGTTTCGATTGGTGCATAACAAAAGTCAGTCAAAACGGTTTGACATTGATGTATTGATAACGAATACACAGTTTGTCAACAGTCCCACAGAGTACAGATGGATGACGTTTGCACAATCGATTTAAAACAGGAAAACAATAAAGCCAGAATCGTATATAGAGAGTTTTTCAAACCAAAAATGGCTCTCTGTGTGTTCAGAGACAAAGACCCATGTCGATCGAGCATCGTGATGGCGAAGCCGTTTTGGTCTCTGCAGGTTTCATGTTTACAGGCCTAGTATTTAGTGTACACTGTAAAGGCACTCAGACCCATTTCAATTAATCGTCAAAATGGTGATCCCGTAAAAAAAAGGCACACAAAAAAAACGTTGGCTTCCCTGGACCCTAAAATGTATGTAACACAGATTAAATCTAAATCTTACTTATAACCACAGATTATATTAGTTTATTTATTACGGAAACTCTGAAACGTATATTAAATTTAAACTCCTGATATTATATTCTCCTAAGACTTTTTTAACCGGGGAACTAGCCCCAATTTTTTAAAGCTATCTTAAATATTTAGGTTACAGTTATTTTAGTCTAATACACGAGATTAAAATAAAAAAAAGATAATCATTTCTATGTTATTATTTACCACCCTAAAACGTACGTTTCCATGGCGTAACATTACAAACAGTACCAAAAGAGTATTTAGAAATGGATATAGTTATTTAAGGCAATGTCTATATTTAAAGTGAAACAATTGTGGTCTAACGAAAGACTGCAAAACGAAGACTACTTGGATGGTATTCAAAATAGTTCCAGCGTCAAAGTAGATAAATTTAATTTAAGCAATGACAGTGATTGCATTTTATTAGCTGAAGGACAAGAATTAAAGATTTATAAGCCGAACATAGAACAAGAAGACGCGCATGTTATTTTAGAATCTCATGAAAGTGATATTATATTGCAAATTGAAACTGGAAAATTTATTATGTAAGCTTCATTCTCTACCAAATGTCTTAAACTACGCAGTTTCGTTCGGTTATTTCATACGGTTCGATTGTAAGGTCGGGAGTCTGATCACCGATATTGCACAAATATTCTCAACATTCATATACAAAAAACAGTTCATTTTTTTATTTAGTTAGTACTTCGAGATTACTTTTATTAAAATAGGTATATCTTTTTATCAGTGACTCGAGTGACCGACAAATTTTATTATTACACCCGCAAAGCTTTGCCATATACTTACTTGAAAGAAAAGAAGGCCACATTGATGCAGGTTTGTATGCATTTGGTATTTCAATACTAAACATATTAAATTCAATATTTATCGGTTTAAAAACCCGACATTTTTTATTATTTAATTAATTATTATTAACTTCTTGACGTTGCGTTTGTTTAAACTATTAGAATGCATGCATGATTCGCGTAAATTATAGACAATACATAAAAAAAAATTATTATGTTCTAGGCGATCAAAACTACCTGAGACCAATACTCAAACATGATTTTACAAGGAAAGCTTACCGTGTTATCGTGGGGCCATTTGGTGTAGCTAAAAGTAGGGAACTGATTTGCATTCAAGCGTTAGATGGGACGATGAGTTTCTTCGAACAAGACACATTCTTATTTATGTGTTTATTTCCCGATGTTATTATACCGGGGCCTATTAGCTATGTTCCTAGTAGCGATCTATTTATTATTTGTACAACATCCTGGGTTATGGAAATATACAGGTTAGTATGAAAACGTAATGAAACAGCTGTTAGCCGTTTGGCTCTCGTAAGGCGTTACGCCCGAGGAAGATCTTTACAATTAGAGAGAGATTATACCTCATGCGCAGAATACGTCTCGTTCACAACTGCAGTCATGCTCGCGCCATCTTCGACATTTTCTCTGCAATAACCTGAGAAAATAAATAAAGAAGAAAGACATACAGACTTAAAGAAACATTATATGACTTTAAACAATAAAAAATAAAATGCATGAAATCACACCTTTAAATTATGTTACCTAATATCTTTTCAGTTACCAGCAGCTACGTGAGTTCAGTGAATTAAGTGGGCGGCAAAATAAAAAAATAATTCCTCAATGGTCGTATAGCCCTGGCGAAGAATTATCAGCTGTTCAAGTTATTCGGGTACTTAAATAATTACTTTGCTGGCAGCACGACAAAAAGCTCTAAATTTGAAGTCTTCTTTGATTTCATTGTTTTGAATACCTACCCTCTGTTTCCAGACTAGCAGTACTTTTTCCAGCATTATTGCACTTGGGGAGCGATATCTATACTGCTTCCAGGATAATGGTTTGATGAAGTACATGCTTCGATTTGACTTTATGCCAGTTTGTTTCCATGCATATCTTGTTGGTTGGTATTATGGTGGGTATAGGTTAAAGATTCTCTTCGCTTTTTCATTTGTATCTATCTATCTTACATAATAAATACTAATATTATAACGTTGAAGAGTTTGTGTGTTTCTATAAACACAGTAATCTCAGGAACTACTGATTCGAATTGAAACATTCTGCGTTGATTGAACCAATAATCAAAGAAGGCAATTATACGTGAGGCAGCGACCAATAGGAGCGAATAAGAAGGGGGAAATGTGGAAATAACGGGTATAATTATTCATCTTTGAGGTATTTTGATACCGTCTATAGTTTACATAGACACATTGAAAAAAAACAGTTGAACGGTTTAAAACGCGATTCATATTTGTTAAACTTATTTGAAAATCCCGACCCCCGGGGGGGGGAAAAAAAACCAAAACGGTGGGGCCGAAGTTAAAAATCATTTTCAAAAAGTTAAATAAATAAATCGTTTTTTAAACCGTTAAAGTGTTTTATTTAAAAGTATTTTGATACCGACAAAATATGTATGAAAAAAATGTTCTCCTAATTTAGTCAAAATAGTTTCTATGGCAATGGAACATTTGTCAGATAAAAAAATAAATATAGTAACGTCCATTTTCAGAACCTAATTCTCGGCTTCTTAACATGGTTGTATCAGAAGATAGCAAACTCCATGTTTATGAAGATACAATGCTGCTGTGGTCCTGCGATCTCTTGCATAAAACTATATCGATATCACGATGTTTCATAAAAAACTTATCAGGTGGCCTAGTTACTCTTTCAAATAAAGGAATTGTCAGCGTTAGTTATTTGGGGACGGAACCAGACTTGAACTCAACTATAGTACCTATTAATGCTGATCCAGGTCCAAGAGACATTGAAGAGGAATTAAAAATTGTAGAAGAAGCACTTGATAAATTTGTAGAGAAAGCTGGCAAGTTGATTTATCTTTCAATCTGTTATACCAAAAATCATAAATCTAAAACAGTCGGTAGTCACTTAATTTATTTTAGATAAAGCTCATTTTTATATTATTGTTGTTATAAGTTTAAATACGTACCTATTTCTGCTGTCAGGCGTTCGTCTTTTATTACTGAGTGTCCTTTTTTCACCGCGGTTGCTTGAAAGAGATCGCTGTTTAGCTATAAGGCCGCCGTTTGTCCTTAATTTCCATCAATTTTTATTTATTGTTTCTTATTTTACAATAAAGAATATTTGTATCTGTAACTCGAACATGACTCTAACCCACGACCTGGAGCGTATGTCTATCTTTCTGAGCGTATCTTTATCTTTCTTGTTACCTTTTGACCCACATAGAATGATATTTGTTATTTTTGGTACACTGAGTTGAAAGCTATTTTCTATTTTAGACGATTCTCTACACTTGCCCTCGCAGCTCGTAAAAGTTAACATCGAGTTTGGCAAAGCCGTAGAAAGTTTTATAGAAGAATTGGATTCCAAGTACAAAATACCGAATTGTTCAGTGATTATAACTCTTACTTGCGACGATCCAAAGCAGGTGGAGAGTATTCAAATAACTTACGCTTGCAGTTTACCATTTACTGTGAGCGACTCCACTGTATGTTTGGACGAGATAAATGGAACTGAGATTGTAGAAACACGTATATTTCTCATTGGCGACATGGCTATTTCAAATACTCATACTAAATTTATCTTTACAATAACTGAAACTTCGGGACAGATAAATGTTGTGTCGAAAAACGAATTATTGCCCTTGGCTTTGTACGCACGAAGAGTCGAGCTTAACAGTGATTGTGAATTTAACATGTCATTTACTACTAATCAGAAGTATTTGAGCTTCGATAATATTTTTACAGGTAAATTAGTCGAGACATCGTTTTTTTTTATGATAGACAAGCTTCACTTCACTCGATGGTAGATGATATACCCCAGCCTATAGCATCAAAAGAAGTTGCGCTGTCGACTTATTTTGGCTTTGGATATTCGGAAATCCACAGACTGAAACCGAAACGTAATTAAAATTTACGGCTTTTCATCGGTGGACGGTTGTTCGTGACCCGGACGGAATTTGGATATTCCAACTATTTGGATATACATTTAATATCCAAATTTCCAGACAAAGTTCAACATGCTTTGGAATCAGAAAAAATTAGAATGATGTTGGACTTGGTCGTACCCCGTATTGCTACCATTAGACCCCCGAGCTCGTTACTTTACGGTTGCTATATCGACTTTGAGGTTAAATTTTTTACACCTTTTTTGCAGACCTTCCACCTAATACGAACTCGACAACGTTTTTGTACAAGAACACAAACAAAATCGTAATTTTTCAAATGAAAGAAGAACAATATACAATTGAAGCAAAGGATTGCGTTGAAATATTCCCGATAGTAAATAACATTTTACACAGATTCGAGGAATATTATAGACAGAAGAGCGTAAATAATTTCGAAATAGCATTTAACATGACACCAGAATTAATCAAACAGATCATTCATAAATTTCTGAAGTGTGTCGAAGTTCACGCTAAGGAACGACTTCAATGTAAGGACTTGGAGGTAATTTTGGCGTTTGAAAACGTTTGTCATTTTTACATGTGGCACTATATACATAAAAACTCGACACGGTAGCTCAATTGGTTAGAGCAACAGCACGGAACGCTTCGGTTCAATTCCTGCCCGTGTCGTATTTATTTATTTAATTGTATTGCAACACATCAAACATAACGTATATATACATATTCCAAATATTCTAAAAACAATTTTAAAGATACATTTTTCTCACCAGTTATAGATCAATTGGGGCTTATCGCCAGAGGGGGGCCCCTCCCCCGCGACCCCATTTTTTTTTCAATTAAAATCAATTGTTATTTGGAAATTTTTGTGTCCAATCCAAACAAGTTGTGAAGAAGAATTACGTTAAAATATGTTTTTATAACTTACCTACTCCTTTTGTAAATGTTACTGTCCCAACCTTAAACAGAAGATATGAAAAACAAAGGTGTTGTTTGAAAACTTCAATATTTTTTCACATGTTATTGCGCATGATGGCACTACGAGTATATGCATTAAAAATCAATGGTATTTTTTTATGTTTTTATTATATGAGTAGGATTCTAAAGCACTGGACAATTTCAGGCTCAATTAAATGTCCTCCAATCACAGTTTACATTGATACAGAAAAAACTCCTGGTACAATACGGATCTTTACCCCCCAGCAACTGCGATCCGTTAGAATTTCTCATGAGGGATACTTACTCTAACATTATTGCTACTACAGAAATGTTACTGACGTGTAGACAAAATGTAATACGGTAAGTTTGTAAATCTATACTAATATTATAAAGCTGAAGAGTTTGTTGGTTTAAGCGTGCTAATCTTAGGAACTCCTGTTTGTAATTGGAAATCTACGTGTTATGTTGTTTGTGCCTTTTCAAAGGAACGTTCGTCAGGTCAGCTAATACTTAAATAAATTATAGTAGTTTATCTTTCTACGTGTTGCCTGACAGTGTGTAAAGCGCGAGAGGTCCTGTGTTCGAATCACGGGGAAACAATAAATTGTTTCGGTCTGGCAGGGCACAGAAGTCTGATCAAATACTTGACAATAAATAAAACTGATTAGTGAAAGGGACACAGAAAAGTGTTGTGATTTTACACACATCTTTCGACAGAAGTCGTGCAATATCTTAGTGCTATTTAATTTTAAAAAATATAACCTTTTTGCATTTACTTCATATCAACAAATATTTCATTTATACCAACGATTAACAACATATTGCTTTGTTTTAGGGCTTCGTGTGATTTTAGTGCGGTGGGTAATCTCTTACTATGTGTACTGAAACACTCGGAAGTTGAAGATATTAAAATAAAAATACTCGAAGAAACGTTGTCGTTAGAAACCATTCATGAAGATACTCAGGTTCGATCATTATAAGCAAATAGAAAAATCTAGTTAGGCCTGAATAGGGCATTGGACAGACAAGAAATTCCCCGTTCCTTAGGGCAAACAGAATTGTATACAGTATTCTGACCCCCCCCCCCCCTTTAAAGCCAGATGTTAAACAGGTTGAACCCAGAACGCTTGAAAACTATGCAAGTTTTTTTTCTAAGCCACAACAATAATTTCCTTTTTTTAGGAGTGGGAAGAATCTGTTACCCAGGCATCCTCCCACATCCTTAACACGATACTCAAAAAAGAAAAGGACAGGGAGAGATTAGCCCCCATCACCGATCAAGACATCCTTTCGCATGTAAACTTGAAACGTTTCCTCAGACAAACGAAAATTATTCTAGATAGTATGTTTCTACAGAGCACTGAGGTGAAAGAAAAGATCACTCGAATCGAAGAATTTGTTGAAGTTATATAATGGAATCTATGTTTAAGAAAAATAAGACTTACATGAGCAATAAAACGAACCCAAATATTTTATAACATGTTTTAATGTAGTAAGAAAAACGTTACTTAAGGAAAACTCCTTTATTTTATCTTACTGTGAGAAAGTTATGTATAATAAATAGTTTACTATATTATACATACATATATTAACAGCATAGGTATTAAATGAAAAGTATAAAAAAAAACTTAGGAAAAATCTTATTATACATACAAACTGCAACACTCCAAGGATAAATATACTAAGTAAAGAATGTAACTGATGTAGCAAAGTCCCGAGCTATATTTCTATGATGAATGAAAAAGCCCACTTCAGGCCACAAGCAGACAAATAGACTTGAAAAATTACTTATAATAAAATATTACTATATCTGTAACTACTTAATAACCGCTTTTGAAAAAACTATTTCACGATGTCCGTTTTTGGCATGTGATATTTACGAGTGAGCAATAATAAAAAAAAAGTTGTATTTAATTACACCATTTAGTAGGTATGTAAATAAATAAGATATTATATGTTAGTGTACCGTGTCGTCTCTTTGCTTAAATAACGTATTGTATTTAAAATCACGACTGTACTATATAAAATCTATATATTTCTGTCATTTTTTAGCGGCGTGGTAATTTTTAATGATAGAGAAGTACAGACAAGCACAGTCTTTACTAGATGGTAGGTGAAATACCCCAGTCATTCAACATCTAAACAATATGTGCTATCGACCTATTCATTATTGTGTATATAACAATGGTATTGAAGCAAAGAGGCGACTTAAGCTACGTGTAATAATGAGTAGAGGGCGAGGTTCAGGTACAGCATATGCACGAGCAACAGCAGCACCTTGTCACGTCATTTCTTCTTCGCGTCCTTCAAACCGGCTCCCGCGTTGAACTTGAAGAATATTATGTCTCCATCTTCAACTACGTAATTACGGCCTGTAATATAAAATCTCGGATCAGTATAGCTGCTTTTTATTTACAAATTATTCAGATAGGAAGAAATTGGTTTCCCTTAGGCCAGTAGTTACTAATTTGCTGTATACTGTGTAGTGTATTTTAAATTATTACAAGGTTAGAAATAAATACTGTCTATACGTTTACGCGAGTATTACACATTTAAATAAAACATTTTAACGGTTTAAAACGCGATATATTAGTTAAACTTATTTGAAAATGATTTTTAACTTCGGCCCGACGTTTCAGATGCTTTGCAGCAGCCGTGGTCACGGGGAGACTGTAAATAAGTTTAACTAATATATCGCGTTTTAAGCCGTTAAAGTGTTTTATTTAAGAGGTTAGTAATAATTCCACTGTATAATATACAAAATAAGACATTACTTTCTTGTTGTTTGTTAACCCGCAGATTATAGATTTAACCAGAATGCAAGATTAATTTTAAAATTCTAATAAAAATCGCAAAATTGGCAAAACCATACAACTTCTTTTTGTTTTAAATACTACCTAATTGTATAATACCTAATTAAGATATTTTCACAATCAAAAGTGTAGGGTAAAGTTTAAGGCGGACATCGTTTGTAAACATACCTTGCTGACGGTACTTTCCGGCAGATTTGCAAGCAGCTTCGGAGCCTTCTTCTTTGAAATCCTTAAAATGCATCACTTCAGCCATGATAAAACCTTTCTCGAAGTCAGTGTGGATCCTGCCAGCCGCTTGGGGAGCTTTGGTGCCTTTCTGAAATTTTTATTACATTAGACATCTTAAAAGTATATTTAGATGTAAAGGAAACTAAGACCTTATATAAGTAAGGTATAAATGATACCTGTATGGTCCAAGCTTTAACTTCATCCGCTCCAGCCGTAAAGAAATATTCAAGCTGCAGTGCCTTATATCCTTGCACAATGATTTTGTCTAGACCACTGAAACAATATAAGATTTAAACAGATATCTTTTCCATTTATTTATTAAAATTTCACAAACATTATATCAACACAAAAAAGCGCAACAAATCATTTGAGTTTTTCTGTACGCCCTCGCCTCGTAGCAAAATTACATAAATTTATAATACAACAATTTTATACTAAGTAATACAGATTCTCCAATATTAATAACATTTTTAATTATATTTTATTAAATTATACAAGATTAAAACAGATATCAAGGACATTCTTAAAATTAGTTTAAAAGATGAAGATCAATTACCTGGTGACGTTTTGTTCCTTCAAGAATGCCTGCCTCTCTTCTGGGTCCATGTCAAGCAGTTTACTTTCCAGTACACCAGAAAAAGGAATTAATGGTGCACCTGGATCGTTCTTATCGATCCACTCTTTTAACTTCGGTAACCTGCAAATATAAACGTTGTATCTAAGTTGACAATCATCTATAACATCCCACTTCTGATTATACTTAGTGAGCTTTTCTACTTGAATTTATACAAAAAACTATAGTACATTTTCACTTACCATTTATTCTTTTTCCTAATATAATCTTTTTCGGACAGATTAACGAGATATAAGGCTGGTTTCGATGTAAGGAAAAGGTACTTATTTAAAATTTCAATCTGAAAATATATAAAAAATGTCAATAAATTTCACTTATGTATAGAGGTATACTTGTAACATTAAGTAAAATAAGCAAACAGTAATATACTAACATCAAATGCACTCCAATCACCAAAACGAATATGCTTCTTCTCATCAACGAGAACAGTCTTAATCTTCATCAGCGAGTCCTAGAATACAAGTATTTATAAGTAATAAAAAATATATACCCGGCTAATTCTACCCTCACAACTATATCGCCATTTTATTAGTAATTCGGAAACAAAACTAATTCATCCCTTTGTTATAAAACAGTTAATAACTAATGTACGCTAAAGACTCACATATTCAGGTTTCAGTTTTTTGTCATTGCCCCGATTGACAACTCGATCTAGCTTCTCGATGTTCTGCATAAGTTGTTCCTCGTCCTTCAAGCGTAACTCTTCGCCAATCGTTTCCAGATCCCGTATTGGATTAACATCGCCGTCAACATGGATCACGTCTTCATCATCGAATGCACCTGAAAACAAAACCAATTGCAACTAAAAGAATGGAGCTTGTTTTTTATTATGGTGAGTGCTTCTGACTAAATACGCAGTGTATACATGTGGTCAAACTTAAATTGTAATTTCTTCCATAAGGTATTTAAAAATACTTACGGCACAGATTAAAAATAGCATCGCACGCTTTTATATGAGATAAGAAAGCGTTTCCTAGACCTTGACCCTCAGCAGCACCACGTACCAATCCAGCAATGTCCACAACATTCAAAAAGGCGGGAACTTTACTGTAAAATAAATTTTAAAATTTTATTTGCAAGTTGTGGTCAAACAAAAAACTAGTCTAGAATTGGGTGGGTGTTACGAAAAAGAGAAGGAGAGAAAAAGTCTGTGGAGGTACTTTTAGACGAGAAATGTGACATGTGATTTGATGACAGCTAGCTAAAATCTTTTACCTGGCCGGTTTATGGTACTGGCATAGAAAGTCATATCGCTCGTCGGGGACCGGTACTCGACGTGCTAGAAAGAAATAAACTGTTAAAACAACTATCAAATCACGAGAAAATAGATGCACAAAATTGTGTACCTTATTTGATTTCGTTTGAAAATTTTAATATTTTTCACAAGTTGTTGCACATGATGGCATAGTATAATTTAAAAATCGAAAATAAATTGAAAAAAATTTTGACTCGGGCAGGACTCAAACCGGCATTGTCAGTGTTCCGTGCTGTTGCTCTACCAGCTCGGTAGCTCAATTGGTAGAGAAACAGCACGGAACGCTGACGATGCCGTTTCAAGTCCTGCCGAGTCGATTTTTTTTTAATTTACTTCGATTTTTTAATTATTTGATTTTGTTATTAAATGTAAAGGCTATAAAAATTAAAATAGTATTATAGATGACGTCTTTATTGCACAAAACTAAAGTATTAACTAAAAACCTATTTTTAAATTCCTCCAAAGAATTTACGTTGGAGCGCAAAAATTATATCCACGTAGCTGATGTCACACTGGATGTACTCGATGGCTTTTCAACAGTACTGGAATCACTGTCATTAACAGCGCAACGACTTTTCCCACAGCATTTAGCATAGGTAGCAAATGGATTACTAATTGAACGCAACTGTAAACCAACATCGATGGAAAGCTTACATCTTGCTTCATAAACTTTGATAGCTTTTAAGTACATCTTTCGCTGTTCTAGATCGGTTCTTGAGTTGTGGGTTTTCAAATATAGAGCTATGTATATACTGCCCGAGACCGCGACATCTAATCCCAAATATTTTGGTCTTAATACATTAACAGTGCAACAAGCCGATGTAATTATATTCGCCAGCGTCTGCTCTAGATAACCGAGATTTGGTAAAGTACTTAAGGATATTTGAGGAAGGCTACCGGCATCTTTAAAGATGTGGATATCAAAGTACATGTGTGGTCTAACCAGAAAAGTAGTTAAGCACTCCGAGCTACAAAATAAATAATAATGTCCTCGATAAATAGCTGCGTATTTATTGCTGCCCTTCAAAACTTTCTGTGCCGGAAGGTTTTCTGCGTATGTTACTATACACACTCCATTTTCGTAAACGAGGGACGGATCGATTGATTTTACGACAGCTGGAATTTCTGGAATCGTGATTGTATTCTTTTGAGACAACACAATGGTTGGTAAATTGTGCATACCGGCTATATGAGCTGGACACAGCCAATAGAAATGGTCTCTAAATTGTACAATGCCTGATTTATCTACTGGGTAAATATTATTCCGAAATATATTTTTGATGTAACACATGGGACAGAAATTCCTGAAATCCGACATCTTTGTATTGAACAGTTCGTTCGGTATGCACATAACATTTGCTTTCACTACTTTGGATTCATAATTCGATAGATAATAATGAATCTCTGTCGAAATATTATCAATGATATTACAAGCAGTGTGGTAACATTGCCACGATGTTCCATCGCCAAACACTTCATAGAGGTTTTGAATATCATCATGTATCCATTTACGTATGGATCCACAGTTACTTTCCCATTGGTGATATCTGTATTCTAAGAAAGCTGTAGAATATGGCGGCTTTATCTTCAAAATATCTGGATATATTTCTTTTTGGGACCTCTTCAAAACATTCTGCAAACAGGTTTTTAGGTCTAAAATGATTGTCGGATAAAGACCATGTTTTAACAACTCGGTAGCTTCAAGTGAAGTCTCGGGAAAACCATCAAATATGAATCCGTTTGTTATAGACCTGTGGTCTATTATAGCCGTCTGAATGCATTTAATTATATGTTCAGTACTCATTGCACTCCCATTCTGTAGGGAAGTTATCATATTAGAACTTAGCTCCGTCCATCGCATATTTTCTATAAGGTGCCTTATACAATCTCCTCTGCTAATACAAAATAGACCGAATCGCTTTGCCAGCTTTGAGGCTAGAGTCGATTTACCTGACTTTGGAGGTCCTATAATACCAATTCTAAGAGGGAATTGTATATATGATTCGATCTGTCTATTCTTGATGTATTTTAAAGGACTTGATCTAAATTTTTTCACGTAGTCTTCAGACGATATAAAGTATATGTAGGCACGATGAATTACTGGAAATATCTTTCCTCTACGCTTATTTATGTAGTAGGGATTATATAGTGTTAACGGATTCTCGTGAAAGTAGACTGGACACATTCTGTTAAATTTACTCAAAAAGAAAAACCCTTCATATATAAGCATTTCAGCTATATCAGAATTTATGATAAAAGTTTGTTCTAAAAACGATTCATTTCTATTTCGAAGATATGTCACTTTATCCAAAGCGTTACGAAAAATTTTTTCTGGGGATTTTAAACAGTTAATTGTTACAACTTTCACTCTCTGTTCTGCCAAAATATCTTTCAACGTCAGAATATTTTCTTCGGATACTTCATAAATACCTTCTATTCTTACATTAATTCTCTCTAAAACGTCGTCCGGTTTTTCCCACTCACTTTGGTCCACAGGCGCTGGATAATTTTGAATCATTTCATTATACATGTTAAATAAACGAGCATCAACATTTGAAGATCCTAAAGGATGAGCATCAAAAATTGTACTTTGCATAGACAGATCTTGTAATGGTTCGTTATTTGTGTGAATCGAATCAATAATTTCCTCAACTATAAGCTTAACCACAATGTTTTGTGTAATAAAATCAAACCAAATTTGTCTGTCGCTTTCTAAGCGAGCTTGCGCTTGAAGTTTTGCTTCTTTACACTGATTTTTCCAAATTTTAAACATTACAGGTGCCATTCTTTCTACCGCCTTTTCCGAGCTACCTTCTAGTTCTATGACAATGTTGGGAATACAATGAGACAAGATCATATCTTCGACGTCATTGGGCAATTTGGGAAACCCGTCGAGTATTATACCAGTCGATTTATATGGTTCTTCAAACCACAACATTTTTGTGATTTTTTGTGTCAGAATGGATGGCATTGCAATACCCTGCTCAAAATAATTAGAAATAATTCTCTTCATTTCTGTTTCATTAAAAAGTAAATCAGACACGAGGTTCGCGTTTTCCTCGTCTAATTGAAATTCGACAATATTCTCTTCTTCTGTTAATTTATCTTGAAAACTATTTTCGTACTGCCAACCAATCTTTTTAAAATGTTTTGGAAGTATGTTATTATTAATAAAGTCATCATAATTTACATAAAGTAAGCCTAATTCTTTTGCGAGGCGTTTCGATAAAGTAGTTTTTCCGCTGCCAATATTTCCAGTAATACATATTCTGAGACAAGGCATTTTCTTAAAGGGTTTAACGAGTGACTGATATCGTGTGCTATCACTTTGAAATAAATTTAAACTTTCTTCATTCGAAAACATAATAATCTTGTTGTTGTACCGCGCACTGATTTCTGGCTTACCTTCCCACAAAACATTATAATCGTATAACGCGATCGGGCAGTATATATGAGTATCTGATAGATTTCGATCATCGTTATAAGTTAACATATCTAATGTTGCTTCATCATTGTCATTGTCCTGTATCTCTTTATCTTCGTCAATTATACAAGGGTTGCAATATGCTTTTCGTAGTTTTAACAAAACTTCATCAATAACGTCAATATCCGATTTCTCTTCTAGTTCTACTTCACCGTACCACTTCGACTGGTCATCCAATTTCATTTTTATTGGTTCCCAATTTTCACGAAACTTTTCTATACCTTCACTAAGAGATACATGAAATTCTGGAATTTCGCTTCCACCCTCTATTTCTTTAGGAAACATAATGCTTAGTAAGTTTTGAACAAATTCATCTACAACAGTTTTTATAGTTAAATAGGTTGAATTTAAAGGAACGCCTTTAAGAAGTTTTGTTTTAATGAAAGCATCACTACAACTAAGATATCGTTCTGGGTAGTTTTTAATACTCTGTTGTATATTTAAATATTTTTGTACAAGGTCGTCATCAATTTCTTTATTTTCTACTAAGGCTACAGTATAATCTGGCAACATTTTAGCTTCATTTAAGTATTCCCAATATTCTATTTCAGATGGAAATCCATCAATTATAAATTTACCATACACTGGTTCAACAATTTGAGATAAGGCTTCATTATCAAGAACTTGTAATTGGTTGACAAGTTCTTTCATTAAATCCTCGCAAGTTGGTTCAATTTCTTTTTCTAAATCATTCGTTTTTATATAGTCAGTTATTGCTTCTGTAACATCTACATCGCCAAGAACTGGAAGCTTTGGCTTTTCAGTTTCCTTTAATAATTCCTGTGGAGCGTATTGCAGAAGGTTTTCACCTTGTGCTATACTTTGACATAATTCAATGTCATCTAAGAAAGGAAAGAAAGATAACTTGTTTTTTAAAATGTTCATTTTACCAAACAATGAGCCAGAAGAAATACTTGCAGATATTAGTTCATCTCCCATTGCACTTTTCTTCGCAATATCACGACAAAGAAGGATATACCTATTAAGAATATTATGATTGGTATTAAACCACATATTTAAATCTGATATTCTCTGTATTTCTTTACTCTCCCATTTTATGAATCGATTGTCTTCAATGGTAGGTATAATTTCAGATAGGATATTTTTTGAATAGGTATCATGTTTTTTATGTTTTTCAGTACTTAAAAAGTCGTTATAATCAATTATTGTTGCATCAAATAGCCAAGACAAACATTTTGAAATCAATGTTTTTCCTGAGCATTTTGTTCCAATAACAATGACTCTGCATGTTGGCTCCAAGTATTTTAATTTAAGAAATGGCCTAGGATTTCTACAAAATGTAATCATATTGTTAAGTGATGATAATAAGTAGATATGTTTGAAAAATGATACTGCATATTTAGGATTTCCTTGTATAGATCGCCTATTTTTCAATTCCACAGGGCACCTGTTATGCCAAGGTGATGAGTATCGGTTAAAATTAACATTTTGGCTTCTAACCACATTTAATTCTTCCACTGTCTTCCAAAACTCATCCATGTCTTCCGGAGGCTCATCTAAGTACAAAGGCTCAGGAAATAAAATTGGCTTAATTGGTAATAGAGTAAACCATTCTGTAATAAAATTCATCATGTGATGAATTGATGTTCGGCCATCCATTTTTAAAACAAATCTTGGCTCATATCCCTTTAATTTATCCTCTAATAAGCTATATGCATGTTGTTTATAGTTGCAAACTTCTGCTTTAGCATTAAATGGGAAATTTCTTGGATGTCTACAGTTATATTTAGGATTAAAGATGTGACTGTCAAATGGTGGATTGTAATCCTTCATGGTATATTTTGGTGGCCATTTTATTTCATCATCAGATTGTGTAGGAAATGGATAGAAATTATTAGAGCTTGTTGTATAATTAAAGTACTTTCTGTTTCTTTTCGTAACAATATCACTATTTGGACATGTTATGTAAATTAATATGTCCGGTTTATAATTAAATAATTCTTCTATCTGTTGTATCACCAAAGCTCTCATAATTTTGAAATAAGCCTTTTTATAGACAATGATGTCACTACAAGTATCTAATATCTGTTTAGGTAACTCGACCCGTTCTTCAGCTTCTTCTTGTTCGGCTTCTACTTCTTGTTCTTCCTCAGGTTCATTTTCTTCAGCCAGATCTAGATTACTACTGACTGATGAGCGTGCAGATCCCATATGAGCTTTTCCTTTCTTCCTTTTTAAATTACATATTAAGTCAAAAAGTATTGCATCTACAATTTCCAGTGATTCTTCTGCATACATGTTGCTAATATAGCATTGCATTTTTGTTTCAAACGATATTAATGGTATACCTGAAATTACAAAACCTCTGTGTTTCACAGCTGGTGATTCCAATTTTCTTTTCATAATTTTCAGTACAATATCAATTTGACAAGCTTTATTGTGGCGCATATTATAATCAAGGCATCGCCCTGTAGGACTCTTTTGATCAATTTCATCACTTAACACATTTTTTGGACAAATATGTAAAACATTAATCTTTTTGGAAAGAGCTTCTCCCAATGTATATGCACCAGTTCCAGGTTTTCCAATTATTAAATAAGATGTAGGTTTTGTTTTTAAGTATGCCTCCTGAGCATCTATATCTGTCCAAGCATTAAAAAATTCTAAATGATCTGGTATAGGTATATCAGTGTTATTTAATCCTAGAACTGCTGAAGCCAAAGATGGAGGATGACATTTACAAACTGTCTCTTGTTTACTCAATAGTTCATAATTTCCTTTATAGCATACTCCCTTACAAATTTTTACATTGTTTAAAGAGGTTTTATCATTTATTGATAAATTGTTAAAGTATTTTTCAAATTGATTCATTTTTACATAATATTGTATACCTTATTTTGACAATCTTTTCAAATTGACAATGACAATAGAAATGTTTTATAAATATTTTCACAAAGTAGTTATAGTATAAAAAGTTATAATGGTCTATTATAATTGAAAAAATTGTAACAAAGCATAATTTGGTATGCTTATGGTAAAAAAATAGGCTTAGCTATAAAGAAATAGATATTGTCTGTAGAAGTTACTTTCATCCATTAACAGTAACATAAATAACAAATAAATTCTTAGAACTTCAAAAGTAAAAGAATACTTATTTTCATTAGGATCGATGGTGCAGAAAGGAAAATTCTCTGCTGCTGCTTGGCTTTTTGTAAGAACATTGAAAAATGTAGATTTTCCTACATTTGGTACTCCAACTATTCCAACTTTTAAGTTAGTTCCAACCCGACCAATAAGAGGTTTCTTTTCTGGTTCTTCAACTTTCTTTGGTGGCATGCTGGAAAGAAAAATGTTTAAGACATTGATTAATGATAACTAAGAATTAAGAATATATAAAAACAAGATTTATTTAAAACCTATATAAAATATAATTAAAAAAAACCCTGTTGTATCGTGTTTGATAACCTAGAAAACTTAATTTTTTTGTTCTGTAAAAAATATATTTATTACGTGTAGCGTAAAATCTTTTATACGTACATTGGTTACTTTAAGTATAATAACTAAATTATTTACGTCCTAAAGAGTTATTATGCCAAAACCTCATGCGGAATCAAAAACCGGTGATGATGGTTGTTGATCAATGTCAAAACTAATTATAGTTACGTCAAATGTCAATGTCCAGCATACAGGAGAACACAGATAACAACTAGGGATGATTTCTATATATATATATAAGACCTATTTAATAATAATAGTGTATTTTCTATAGGCTATAACAAATAAAAACAATTATTGCCAAATTAGTTTAAGTTATTCATTATCATATCGATTTCGTCTGAGTCTATAATTATTATTTAAGTCTCAAAGTTTAAACTTAAAATCTGTCTATTTGAAAAGCGATTTGAACATATTAGACAGTGGAAAGCACAGGTTCTATTTACCAACCATTCCATGTACTTTGAAAAATGATGGAATATTAGATAACATAAAAAAAAACTCCTACAACCTTATATTCATATATTACTATAATTCTTATTTATATAACAATAATAACAAAAGTAGGCAATATATTTTGGAATGCCTACTAAGCTGTAAGTGAAGCCCAAGGTGGTGACATTGGAGCTGGATTTTGTAAATATGACATCACCACTGCAGATATTGACAGCATAAAGGAACTGATTATCTGAAACAATATAAATGCATGTTATATATTCTACAAATTTTCTTTTCTAAAAAACTGAGTCATTTAATATGAGACTGCATTATAATCTATGTTTAAGAATGCTATATTCTATATGGTAATTAATATTATTATTTTCTTGCAGGGACACCATTATGAAGGGGGATGATTAGTCCACATCAACTGTTGATCATTCTACCCATTTCCCCTGGCTTTGATGGAGGTTTTCGGGTTATCCAACACTTACAGCATCCCCTTCATACCTTCTGGTTTCTCTACAAATCTATAATCTGTTCCATCTTTAGTTCTTTGATCTCATCTGTAGTTATGTAAGTAATTAATATAGAAACAAAGCAGAACAATAATATGTGTGTTATAGATACCTGTTTGGTATCATCAGATACCCTGGAATTTGCAAAGCTTACGCTGGAACAAAAAACAGCAGTCCATGCGCACCACTTTAACCGCATCATTAAACCACACATAGAGAATACCATACCTGAAAATAGAAGATTTAATAAATATTATGATTTTGTACAATTAATTAACAAAGACACATAATATACCATTTTTTATGAAGAAGTACATCTAAAGAATCAGGTAGTGCAAATTTTCATTTGACTTTGTAAGTAATGATGTTATCTTTTCTAGGTCAAGGAAAATTGCTTATAAAGCTAATACCAAGTATATTCATGTAATCTGTAGTAAGGTCTTCAGCTGGGGCAGATGTAGGTGGGGGTGGTTTATACCGACGCTCGCGGTCGGCACGTCTTGGGTCACCAGACAGTTGCATCTGAAATTTTAACATAAATCTATATGCTTTAACAATTCAGCTTAACCAGTTCTTTACAAACTTAATCGATTAATAATATTAGATCATATAATCAGTAATATAATGAAATCATTATTACAGCTACGTAGTACTCCAATGTTAGAAATAATTATTACTTTATACTACTAATTCAAACAAAATTTTACCTTTCCTAATGTTAACGATGGCCCACAAATTATTGCAATTGGAACAGTACTGGCGCAAAGGAGAGATGTCTTATTGAATCAATTATTATATATTCAATTTGTGTATTAATAAATTCTCATAAATGTATTACTAAAATAATATTTTACAAATACATTCAAGAGTAAATGTATTCGCTTTCCACTATTAATGTATACCAAATGATAAATCAGATTGTGATACTTCAGTGAAGTTGTGTAGCTGTCATGTACATATTGACAAGTATTTTGTCATTGTCTATGGTAGTAACAGATAAAGTGGTATATAACAAGACGTTATTTTCAGAAAGTACATATTTATAAAATGATAGTATAAAAAAATTTATTCATTTAACATAATAATATGCATATGAATTATTTTTATGTATTTTTTAATTTTCCCACCACAAGATGGCGATAAAGCACTGTAACGATTTTAATTATATATTGCTATAGCAATAGAAACAATGCGTTATGGCAAATTTATATTTTTGTTATTCGATTTTATAAAATGAAAATATAGGGATAAAAATGTATTGTGACTAGTTTTGGGGTGTGGTTTCACTTGTGGTAGTTGAATGATAATAATTGCTGTAACGGCTATTTAATAGCCGTGCCAGCGATGTGGTCCGCGTAGAATAGTTACATATTTTGGGCATCAAAATATTTGATGCCCAAAATATGTTATTGCAAAACTTAATAAACTACAGCTGTTGACCCGTCGTTCTTGCAAATTAATATTAAAAGACGATCGCGGACGTTTTTTAGGTCTTTTAAAGAACAATCATTCTTTCACCGTGATATCTTCAACCGTGAATGCAGCGCAAAAAGAGCGAAAGAAAGCCCTTATGGATGAAAATTTCTCCCCCTTTTTCCACATGTGGGGTATGTGTGTTTCTTCGCTTCTATTGGCCTCGATAAATAGATACTCTAACTGTAATAGCGCTTTATTATAATATTAGTGTAGCTAAGTAAATAGTAATTAATAGATTTATTAGTTTACTTGAGGTACTTACTTATTTAAAACTTTTCTTTTTGATGGCAAAAGAGGACAGACGTTCAAAGACATAATTTTTAAAATTAAGATGTCATGATAGCGGCTAATTTGGTTTAAGACGTTTAAATACGTAAGAAATAACTTTCGCATAGGTAAGTCTAACAATACCTAATAATTATAGTTACGTTTATTTAAGGTACCTACCCATATGCGAGTAGGAATGAATTAAAGGTATTTTTTTAATGATTTATGTTAATAACTTATTACATAATACAAACTGAATTTGCAGTAAAATCTTGTCTTCGCTTCTATAGATTTCCTCAAAGACAGACATCTCACCTCACTTATTTATCCATGTATAAGTTTGTAAATTATAAATAATGTATACGTAAGTATAATACATGGCCTAGAAATTGCATGCTTGAGCCAACCGTGATGGGTTTAGACTGCCTAAACAGTAAGTCCCTACTAGGGTCAGTAATTCTTACTTAGGTAAGTTTATTTGTGTCGGGTTCCTACGTTTTACATTAGTATTATATAAAATGACAAAATGATAACAAAGTAGATCTTGACTTTCACATTATAACGTATCCTACTGTGTAATAAACATAATGTAATAATAATATATAATTCAGATGTGCATAAAGATTTAAGATATTTAAATAAAACACTTTCTCGAGGCCTTTGTAGGGTCCACCCGTGATCTCGGCTGTTGCAAAGCATCGTCTCATACGCCGAACGGTAGTTAAAAAATATTGTAAGTCAGTTTTAAACCCGAATATCATTGTTTTTCAGTTCAGCCAACGTGAGCGAGAAAAGGTTCTCGACGTATCGCCATCACGATCATCATCAGATTCATGAGATCGCCGGAACAGCCCGAAAAACAATGATATGCTCAACGATGGCCGTGAATGCCTTGTGTAAGACTAATTATTAAAATTGAAACCGTTAAAATTGTTTTATTTCAATGTGTACCTACTACTCGCTTAACTACAGACAGCACTTGATTCAAGATATGATTTAAACTGGCAATCTCGATTTCCGTTCTGGAAAGAAATACAGAGGTCGCTTTGGAAATGGGAAAATTATGCAAACTATCACAATTAAATTAAGTGTTGCTAAAAGTATTTTTATGCAAAGTTCACTATTGGCTGGTTGCTGACCGCCCACTCCCCGAGGCTACACGCAATGCCTCGCCCAATCATTTACATGTGAAGAATTTTAAATAATATAACTATTATTGTTGTTCATAAGTAGGTAAAGAAGCTTATGTATTATAATATAGTACGTTTTATATGTTATTTATAATAGAATATAACAGACAAGCATGGTATTTAAATTAAACACTAACAGTTTAAAACGGTTTTTTTTTGTGTTGTGTGTGTACTCATTATTTTCGCTAATAATGACTTAACTACGCGCTTTATATAGAAATTGAGCATGCTATAAATGTAATTCCGTTTTCGTTTGTATTTCTTTCTTGTCCGTTGTGCAGTAGGTAAAATGTAGATAAATAAAAAAAATACGCAATTATTTTTAACTAAGTGTAAGAATTTTCCTCTTTAAAGAATCTGTAGGCACTTAGAAATATAGAAAATGCAGGTACTTGCGTAATTTATGGATATAAGTTAATCTATCTTGATTGCCATAATACGCACAGGACCAAACTGCAGATTCTTTGAAGTGTGTGATTCAGATATTGTGGCGAATTAAATCAAACGCGGTGAACATAATTTTATTAGTGATTTGGGTATAATATGGGTCATTAAATTTAGCTCGAACGATAACACAATGGTCAGCTATTTAGATATCTAACATATTTATTATTTAAATCGTTGCAAAGTACGAGCGCTAAGTATAGTCTCGGCTCCAATAATTCGGTAATCAACGGTTACAGGTTCATGGTTCGGTAAGGTCAACGACGAGACTTAATTTTGTTTAAGCGTCTCTCTGGGCGACGCTGTGGTGTGTTATTATTTTTCCTAAATAGCCATAGCTGTATTTACTATAATATGCATGAGATATCGCGTTGAAGTTCGTCTGGACGTATAGGATATTAAAACGGTGATATATCGAAATTCCGTCCGGGGCCCGGACCAAAGTCCACAGGTGAAATAGACGTCAAATTTTATCGAGTTTCGCTTTCACTCCCTGGATTTCTGAATATCCAAAATCAATCCAGCCATCCTGTTTTTGGATGTTATATGGTAGTTCACCTACCATCAAGTCACCCTCTGTTTGTACCTACCCGGCAATCCACGAATATACTGCATTGATCTCTTTGTGGTTATAGGCGATGGATCGAGGATAGCTTGGAAGTAATAACAAATGAAGACTATATCCTCTTCGTTTATTCAAAGCAATATGCTTTATTTCCTAACTTCATACTAAGTACTTATCTACGAAATATTATCTTTTGTTAGTTAGAGCATTTATCGGAAAAAACTACTAAGACTTCTTTGATTCTGTTGTACGCAGCGTAATAATTTAGGCGAATATTTAGGCTTTAATTTTAAGCTATAAAAGCCTAAAAACATCCGGCTGCGGCTCATAGCGCTCATAGCATATTGCGCGCGAATTTGGTTCAAGTAACAAAGAAATATATATATATAATGATTAATAATATTAATTTTATTAATCTTAAAATGTCCGTGTTAGCATATGACCATATTTTACAATTAACGCACCAGAACCGTTTAATGGTAATTAAATTTAGTCGAAATACTTCATATGGCAAAAAAAATTGCCAGGTCAGCAGGCAATTTTTACGAACGGTTTTTTCGTTATCTTAACTGTAATGTATGTCACGCGCTCTGTGGAACTATGGAATCATACAATTTAGCGGGGCGGAGTCCCAACTCCTAATGTCAACAATATAACGCCTGGAGTCTTAAGGATCGCTAATACTAGGGACTGAGGACTCCACTTCCGGAGCCTGCTGCTTAACAAATTGCCGAAGAAAGGGTACCGCGCGCCGCCTTTGTCAACCGATTTTAACGAATAAAACACTGTTAGCAACGTGTAGCCGATCCGCTCTTTGTGCGCATACGCACTCCGTAATTATGTGGAACAGTGAAAGGGTCATATTTTCTATTAAATTTATACTATTGAATAACTGTACAGTGTGTTCCGTTGAATAAAAGATTTCAATGTAGTCAATATCCTTATTTGAAACTCAATGAGACAATATTGCATTTTTTTATAACAGAAGATGGTGGACGGACAAGCATGGACACTTGATGGTAGGTGAAATACTCCGGCCATCTAAACTACATGCTACATATACTACATTTCCGAAGAAATAATAAATTGATTACAAAAATGTTGGACATGGTTGGGATCGAATCTACGACCCGTTGGTTATTACCCATACAGTGCTACCATTACACCAACCAGACTGTCATTATACCATTCCTTATCTGTAGCAGGTACCGTAATAGAAGATATCATTGTTGAATCGTTCGTTTTTAGATAAGGCAAATGTACTACTGTATATTTTATTTAGTTTAGTGTAGGACAATGTGTATCAAGAACAGTGATGTATTTTTTAACAACTGTCTTAGCTTTTATAATAAGTATGTTGAAATGAGTGTTCCAAGTCTAAGTTTCAGTTAGTACTGATTCTGAAGAATCTAGAGCGTATTAATATTAAACCCGTTAGATCCGAAATAATACATGCTGTATATAGCGTGTGGTGGCACGGTGAGTGCATACCTTTGTTCCCTCATGAGGAGAATAACTATAATCATTGCTCACGTAATGTGGTAAATGATAAGGTGCATTCTAACATTCAAAACATATGCTAACTCGTAACAATTCAAGTGGACCGGCACTGCCTTGTATTGTTTAAGTAGCCTGAAAGTACTGTTTTTTTAAGGATAGAGGGCAGATAAGCATGGGGTACATTTGATGGTAGGTGAAATACCTATAACATCTAAACAAGATGTGTTATCGACCTATTTTGGCTTTGGATAATCGGAAATCAACAGATACGTGATTAAACTTCACGGCTTTTCATCTTTGGAATTTTAATGTTCCTACCACCAATATCCAGATTTCCAAATAAATTAGAAACAATATGGACCCGGTGGGGATCGAACCCGTCAAATAATGCTTGTTGTCCCCATGCTTGTCTATCCTACTTCATCATTATAAAATTTAACATGTTTTTAGAACTTATTTCTAAACTTGTATGAAATATGAGGAGTCAAATGCACCGCTGAATTCCCCTAATGACCTAGCCCTAACCACGAATTCTAATGAGGTTTAATATAGTTTAACTATCGCGTAGCTGCACTAGATATAGGGCTAGCCAGGATCAAACGGATCGCCTCATTATGCAGCATCCACGGAGGACGCGGTCTGTTATTACAACGAATGGAGGCAAATTGCAGATCGAACGCACTGCTGGACCCTTATTCTGGTAATTCACGGTCAGTGAGAAGCAAGCGAAAACTAGTTAAACTTAGTTTAACTGCACACATTGTAGTATGATTTTTTATGGGCTTTTGTAATGGTAGCAATGTACTAAAGTAATGTAATCCTCACCAGGACGTTTCTCTGATCAATTTTTGTTTTTCTGAAACACGCTGGACTCTGTCTGGGAATCTGGATATTTAATGAAAACTCCTTTCCGGGTAAAGTTTAACTGCGTTTCGGTAGCAGTCTGTGGATTTTGCGAATATTCTAAGGCATAATAGGACGCCAGCGCATTTTGTTTAAATGTTATAAAACTGGGGTATTTCACTTGCCATCAAGTTCAACGATGCTCGTTTGTCCTACTCTATCACAACAAAAGGTTGTTTTATTTAATTACTATATTAATATTGGCGTGCTGACTCTGTAGTCTGTACATTTCGAAGCCTGGAACCTCGATAGCAACTGTAAACACTAGACAAACCACGTAGTCTTATCAGTCATTGTGTTAGTACAATACTCAAAGGCTTGTCAGGGTAGTGACAAGCCGTCGTGAGGCCAGTGTAAATCGCAGAATCAGTCAACTGAACTACTGATAATGCCAGTAAAAGCCTAAACCTGAATCATTTCGGCATTAAGTCTAGGCTAATCAGAATTCAGGCGCCACACGAACGATGTATTCGCTTTACGGGCTACTTGCAGGACACAAATTATAGCGTAACTTGGTAACAGTAGATGGATTGCGAATTTTATTACAATTATTACTGATAAGCTCGTATTCAAACACGAATGTACACAAGGTACAGTGATGATCCGAATTTAGTTAAATAAATAAGTTCTAATACTTACATAAACCATTTTTAAATGATGTTACTCCTAAGTTCCGATTCCGACGATGTAATCGATCACTGTTCGTCATGAGCCCCGCGAGAACAAACTTAATGTACTTATCTCCAATTATGCAAGCACTTCTTAACAGTGTATTCTTCAATAGACATTTTTAATTGCACGGTGAGCGATGTCATAAAGACAATAACGCATGATATCTCATATGATCGATAAGATATTTAAAAAATTTAATGGTGGATGTGTTATTGCTATTGTATGTAACCTAATCTTTACATAAATGTATATAGCAAAAGGTTTTAATTTCTTATTATTGTTTTTTTATAAATTACAGTAGAATTGCAATATTGTTGATACCTAAATATCAAATATTAAGTAATACTTATCTTTTCTTTAAATAAACGGATAGGAACTAAATCTTACTTTTACAATATCGTTCTACGTATCTAGTATCTATCCCCCTAAAGGTAGCATGAAATCGATAAATTGTTTGTCTGTCTCATTTAAATAAATAAGCCGTGGTCACGGGGAGACGTCACGGCTGCTGCAAAGTATCCGAAACGTCGGGCCGAAGTTAAAAATCATTTTCAAATAAGTTTAACTAATATATCGCGTTTTAAACCGTTAAAGTGTTTTATTTAAATGAGTACTACTCGCGTAAACTATAGACAGTGTCTGTCTCATTACAATATTATATTCAAAAGCAATTAGTAAAACACGTGCCCTGCGCGACCGTAACTATTTATTATATTTCCTATGGATTTAAACACGTCATTTCTCGCGATTATCGTATTTCTAGGCAATGCATTTAACCATTGAACCACAGAGGCGATCTACCTACTGCTTAACCCATCTAGTAGGTACTTCTCAGAACTCGCATCATAGCACGCCATAATAGCTGAAAATGACATCAGAGAAAATTAGTTTTAATCGCGTCCAATTGGCGTGCAATGTAATCATTGCTCTAACATAAGCCAAGCGTGACTTTAATTAAGTGATGGTTAGGTATACGTACGAAGTTAACCATGAGTAGATTAGGTAATTATGTTATTATGGAATTCTAGATAAACGCGAACACGCAGATTGGTTTTATTAAATGCTATGTAAATTCAAAGTGAAGATAAAAGAGATCTTTTATGCGATTCTCACAGCACGATAGACGGGCTCATTGGTCTAATGGTAGCATGCATGGCTAATAACTAACGGGTCGTATGTATCAATATGTTTCTAAACAAATTGCATTTTTTCTGAAGCGTCTTAAACATCTGGAAATCCGGATATTAGGTTGGTCATGAATTGCCAACCAGAGGTGAAAAAGCCGTGAAGATGTGGATTTCCGAATATCCATTGTCACAATAGGTCGACACGGCGTCTTGTTGAGATTTTGTACTTACTATTTCACCTTCCATCAAATAAACCTTGTCTGCCGTACACTATTACAAAAATAGTCTTAGAATTTGTTTGAAGCGAACTATTTATTGTATTTTTAGTGTCGGTAAGTTCCATGGCGATTCTGAAGTGTGAAGAAAACGGAAAATTAGCAATAATTAAAGTCAAAGTAAAAAATAATTTATTCATGTACTTAGATAAAAAGTTTAAAAGCCGTGGTCACGGGGAGAAGGCTGCTGCAAAGCATCCGAAACGTCGGGCCGAAGTTAAAAATCATTTTCAAATAAGTTTAACTAATAGTTAAAGTGTTTTATTTAAATGTGTACTACTCACGTAAACTATAGATAGTATTTAGATAAAAAGTTATTTTTTAACGTAAGTACAGTTAAAGCTTGGCACTAAAATGGGGATGATTATTTGGATCGAAAAACATACTCTGCGTGGCATGGAGATGTTGACACATATTATTCGAGGACACTAAACAACGAAATATCGTTTGACATCCAGAAAAAGAATATTTGCGATAGCGTTCTAGAAAATTGACTTCTGAAATCGATTTTCTAGAACTTATACGTACTTTTTAGATATTTAATACAATCGTTTACTCTCTGAAAGAATCACTACAGTGGGTATATAAAGGCCCGATCGCTTCAAACACAAAATGATTATTTTGATTGAGTTTAATTTGCATATGGACGAAGCATTTGCCTCCTGCCTCGGGCCAACGCCGGCATTGGTGGATACCTGTACTTTTCTGTAATGTTTTCGCCATTTTCAACAAAATTCCCAACAAATCATATAATTTCTGTCGTCATCATAGTCATTACGGTGCGTCCGTGGATTCCGTAGCATCATAATTGCTCGATTCATGATAACTCCGAGCAATCAACATAGAAACGGGCTGCGCATATATAATGAGCCGATATCTCCAATTATGGGTAATATCGGGGGCTTTAAACGTTCTTAGGAAGCTGAATGCTTCGGTAGAATGTATGTATTTATTCTCCGTATATTTTCCGCGACTTGACTATGCTTAACGAGGGCGAAATTGCGATGAATTAACGATTTTTTTTTACCGTTCGCAACGGTTTCTGGCAAGGTGTATCGGTAGATGGGCTTTTATTTTCTTAGCGAATTGTCTGAATGCATTGTATCCAGCATTCGTATTTTGGGAAAACATATTTAGATAGATTAGTGAAACAGATGCAAATGTGTTTCTGACCCGTGCCCCAAGGGTAAACGAAACTTCACTTACCTACCTACTTGTTTATTTGTAGAGTTATCGCTTTTGAATTTATAATAGAATAATTTGTAAATGTATCTTCTATGTTATTAGACAATAAATTGAAAATTATTTATTTTTTCAGATCTCATATGAGATAATCAAGATTTTAGGTTTAAGCTACGATCGTACGAAAAACAGTTTTTTTCTAGTTGAGCTTTCAAAACAACTTACTCTTTACTACTTTTCTACTTATTTTATACCTTTTAAGCAGCTGCTGTAAAGAATCCGAAACATCGAATAGTTAACTTACTTTAAACAGTTAAAAGTGTTTTATTTAAATCATTAGGTACTACTACTCGCGCGGACAGACAATAGGTAGGTACTTATTACCTGGTTTTAATTAGCCTTGAGGTTCTACTCATAATTTATGTAAAAAAACGGGTATTATTTAGGATAACAATATGATCTCTTACTGAATTATTATTATGTATCTTAAGCTATGCCTAAATAATCAAATAATAATAAAGAGAAAGATATAAGCTCGATCACACTTGACTGAACAAAAATCTCAAACAAAATATGAGTAAACTGTAACTACTGTGCAGCGCGCGCGCATTGGTGCCTCCGCCTCCAATCGGCGTAAAGCGCCACGCCCACATCTATTAGCTTATTTTACGCACAAGTCATACATTCATACAGGTTTTTCCAATGTTTCATTATGCACTATTCATCAGCATTTTCGAAGAAACCTAGATAGGTTTCTTTAGCTATTCTAGTACATAGATCTAGGTTGTATATGTGTATTTGTATAATTTATAGCAATATTAGGGTTGATAACTACTTAAATTTTCAATCTCTTATAATAGGCAAATA